TAAACAAAATTGTGAACATAATTTGAATATGCGGGAGGCGATATTTATTGCTAATCAATCATTCAATCAATTAATTTAATTTTTTTTTTGGAAGTATAGTGGCGTCGATGCGCCCACGTACATCTATTTTATCATGTCATACCGTATGTCGTTTAAAGGGAGTATACAGAGGCAAAGAAATAGAGTAAATATGCAATTGAGTAGAAATGTAATTAATGTCAAAATTTAAATTTGATAAAGTTGATAATAATAATTCAGTTCCTTTAGGAAGTTAGTTCAAATGTGCATTAGTTAAAATGCCGCCTAATTTTGATACCTTTTATATTGGTTCTTTCTACTTGATTTGTAGGCATTGTTTAGCTAACATAAGCTAAGCATTTTGCTACGAAATTCTTGATTACTATGCCGATAACTTTCCGATATCACCTTAAGATTAAATGTACGCAGTAGAAGACAAGATAATTGGCCGATTTGATTCGACCGTTAGGTTAGGTTAGAGGGTCGATCCTAAGAAGGATCACACTTGGACAGCTTAAACGCCGGTCCGTTGTGGTACCCAAAACTCCTATGAGCCGGATCAATAGACCCTTACATGTCGACAAAGCGCTTTTTGCCTATGACAAACTTGTTGAGACGGCCAATATCTGTTTCGGCCAGATCTTCTGGTCCGCCAAAAGTGTGATTGCCGAGATGTTTCAATCTCAACCTAGCAAAAGCCGGACAATGGAGGAGAAAGTGCCGGGATGTTTCCACTTCACCCTCCTCCATACAGCTTTGACAACTGCCATCAGGTAGTATTCTAAGCCGCACCGCATGAGTTCCCATTGGACAGTGCCCAGTGAGAACTCTTACCATGGCGGCGAGGTGAACTTTGTTCAAGGCGAAAAGATCCCCCGACCTCCTGCGATCCACTCTCGGCCAAAAGGAGCGCGCAGTCGCGCAGGAGCTGGTCGTCGACCAGCGTCTGCTGAGCGCATGCGAGGTCCATTGGTCCAGAGCCAGAATGCAAGACGTTAGTGGAGAACCAACTCGATCCCATTCCGATGTGAGCGGGGCATGGGTACCCCCCCTGGCCAGCTCATCGGCCTTGAAATTCCCAGCGATTCCGCTGTGACCAGGCACCCAAACGAGCCTGATATTGAAGTAGCCTGATGCTAATTCTAGCGAGGACAGACACTCCTTGACTAGCTTTGAATGCACGGTTAGCGCACTCAGGGCTTGTATTGCCGCTCTGCTGTCGGAGTGAATGCTTAATGGTCCGGTAGCCTGAAGCAAAGATTGACGGAGAGCTCTTTACAGAAAAACCCCCCTCCAACTTTCCCTTCTAGTTTCGACCCATCCGTGAAAAAACTCACCGCGCCTCTTCTCCAGCGGCTTCTTCCCCTCCACATCTCCCTCGTCGGGATATGAGCAGAGAAAAAGCCGCCTCGAGTGGCCGCTGTGACGCAGTGATCCAAATTTTCAAGAATGCAGGTGAAGGAGGAGAGAATTGCGACGTGTCCTTGTTTGGACCTCTTCACAAGCCCAGCTTCTCTGAGCCTAATAGCACACCTCGCAGCAATGCACCTACCGGCAATGTCCACAGTTGCTATATTTAATATAGCGTTGAGAGCTATCGTTGGTGTGGTTCGCAGTGCACCGGAGATTCCGATGAGCGCCGCTCTTTGGACTCGCTCAAGCTGTTACGACTGTTAAATCAAGGAAGAATTAATCCAAAACCCGAAACACAACAAATGATTTTGCAAGAGAATGAATTATAATTTTTAATTTTTTTTATTAACATTTGTAAATTGTTTTCAACAACTTTCTTTAGATTTTTTTTCACATTTTGTTGAAATTCTTCAATAAAATTTAAATACTATTAACATTGTTAATAAATTTAATTTTTTATTGGTCAAATTAAGACCACTGGTGTCCGTAGTATTATATTAACACACAAGAATTGTAACATCTTCCACTCTTTTAAATATGTTTTGAATCCACTAGACGTATGCGCTTAAAATTCGCGATAAAAACTTTGTAGAACCTCAGACAGATTAATAAAACTACCAGTTGTCGCCAACTAAATAACTTTGGGCAAAAATATATATGGTTTTATTTTTACGAGAAGATATTAAGATAATCTTCCAAAGCATGTATTAAAGATGTATCTTGAAAAAAGTCTTTAGTATTAGAAAAATGCGTGAATTTAAAAGTATTTGCTCATTAAAGCCAAAGACTTTGTAGTGGAAAGGGCACGGAAAGACAATCATTTAATACAACATTTTAACAATACTAACTACTTCCAAATTTCAAGAGGTAGATAAAACGCATAAGATCTCACGTTAAATAAATCTCTAAGCTATGACGAAATTTTATGAAAATGGGAAGACATGCACAGTATAATAAGAAGGCTTACATTTTCTGTAGATCCTTCCGCCGCTCTCACATTTTTTTTGAAATTGTTAAAGGCGCCGACAAGCGGCTCAATGCTTTTATATAATTGTCAGTTTTACCTCGTACGTGAACTTAAATCACTGTCTAACAAGAGTTTCGATACCAAATAGTATTGTTTACATGAAAAAATGTATTTGTTTACTCAACGTTCAAGGTAATATGTATATGTATATGTATGTCAATAGATCATTAAATTATTCAATGAAAGGAAACAATTTCTTACTGTATATTTTATTGCTTCCTCCATTTGTGCCGTAGTATATATGTAGGTATATTTTTTATTTAAACAGTCAGCTGGCAGGCATTGCTCAGCCATTGAAATCTGCAGACCATATTTTTAAAAACCCGCACACACACATTCACACATGCACATATGAACACTCGCTCACAAATAATTGACATCTCGTGCACCGCGACGAAAAAACCGAAATAAAACCGCTTTGCTGCGCATACAAAGCATTGCATTAGCGTGTGAATACGTGAGTAATTAGCAAGCAGTATATGCACGTACAAAATATGACAACTACAGAAACAAAAAGACATTTTATGCATACATACATATGGACATGCATACGTACGAGGTGAAATTATTAAATAACAAGACTGACGCTAGAATATATTTAATTTCGAGATGCTTATACATACATAGCGAAGTCAATCTTCGAAACACAAAGATGTTATTGAAGATTCTGCTATCACTCGTCTGCTGGTCTCGTAATAATACCTGCGATTTCGAAAAAGTCAACCTCGACAGCCACTTTTTTGTCGTAAGTTAGCGCTAACTCGAAATTAAGCGAAACTCTTAGCCGTATTGTTTTTCCAATGCACTTGAGGTTTCGGAGCTTTTCTGCTACCACACGCTTGTTTCACTTTGTTCGCCAGAACTGAGCAGATCGTAAAATATTTGTGGAACTGAGAAAGTTTTGCTCTATTACTTAAACCAGTTTTCTTCAAATACCGCGAAGTCAAACGGATCCGCAAAACATCCCTGTAACCACTTCAGTAGATGAAAATCAACATGACGTAATTAAAATGATCACAGAGATCCCCAACATAACCTGAAAATGAACTTAATATATTATGATTAACATTCTGGGTAGTTTATAATTCCACCACCAAATCTCTGACAGTATTACAGAAGTTTCCAATATTTCAACTAGAATCAAGTCAAAGAAGAAGACGTCCAACAAACTTATGCGCCGTATTTGACTGCCTGTGATCATGTCGACCTTAAACTTAACTATCAGTCTACGTCTAGGATTCGTTGCTATACCCTGAACAGAGTATATTACGTTTGCCACGTTGTTTGTAACGCCCAAAAGAAAATGTCAGCGATTCTCTAAAATATACATATACTCGTATATAAATGATCAGCGTGACGAGCTAAGAAACTGTGCATTTGTCGGAACGGCCGATATCGGACCACTATTGCATATAGCTACCATACAAACTGAACGATCGGAATCAAGTGCTTGTATGGAAAACTTTTACATTTGAGGAGATATTTTCACGAAATTTAATATGGGTTATTGTCTCAGGCAATGCTGTAAATTGTTTAGATCGGATTGCTATAGCATACTTGTATAGCTGTCATACAAACTCACCGATCAAAGTTTTTATAAGGAATATTTTGTATTTGTAAAGGGTATTATAGCTCCGGTGCAACCGATGTTAACTTTTTTCTTGTTTACATATTAGTTTTGACTCAGGCGTCATTCAATTTGAAGTATTTTAATAATGGCCTGTGTTACAAGAAGTTAGTTAGTTGTTACAGTTGGGATAAAATGTTGTGATTAGCAGTTTTCACACAGTTTCTTTTAAATCAACATTGATCCTAAGGAATCGGCTAAATAAATAGTTTTACGTTGTTTACAATTATTATTCCAGTTAACACAGAGGCTAGCAGTGAAGATTTGAGGTTCTCTTCCAACACCTGTTGAATTTCCCTATTGAATAACTAACTACACCTAACATAGCATACACTTATTTGGGGAATTGCGCTTTTCTAATGCATTTCAAGCGCAAGCGCTGAGTGCTACAAATTGGTGTGTAACCAACACTTGACCGCCGAAATGAGACCCAGATAGATAGCTACTCAACGCTTCTTCCTGAAGAGCAAATACATTTGTGCTATGGCGATACTCAGTAAATATATATATATATATTTTTTTTCTTTTCTAACGTTTAAAAAATGAACTGATGAGCAACGTCAACAAAAACCATAAACAAAAACCGCGCCGCTACGCAACCTCACCGCAAAGTTACACAAAATGCTTAACCGAAAGGTAAACAAAAGGCAAACAGTTAAAATCATTTTGTTTGAACACCTGCCAAAATGTGGGCGCACGAGTAATGACCGAGCTAAACTGACAATTAACAGTTCGTCATGGGGTTTTGTTGGGCGGAGTGGAGCCAAATAGATGTCTACCGCACGCATATAACGCGGCAGTTTTGCTTGTAGTTGTTGTTGTATTTGTAGCTATGTTAGCCAATGTACGCAATTATTTTCGATTTGCAGTGTTGAAAGCGAAAAATTACACATTTCGACCGTAAAGCGACGTAGTTGGCTTACGCTTTGGCAGTTGACACGAAACTGTCGCTTCAAACGCTCGTAATACTCGACGTCTGGCAAACGTAGTACACATTCTGCGCATTTGTTTTGATACGGTCTCTTATTGTTACAAATCGACAATTCACCAGACATTTCGGGTACAAATTGCACTCGATTTGCGCAGACACTTCGCAACCCGACGACCCTGCCACCTTCCAGCACATCGCCTTGTAAATGCATCTCCTTGCAATGGACAATGTTGTCTGCTACGCTTTGGCCACGTGGCTGCTGTTAATGTGGATTTACTTTTTGTGGTCACGTAGACGTTTTTATCATGTAGCGTGGCAGTTGCCCGGTCCCGTGGGTTTGCCATTTATTGGTTTAGGATTGAAAATGATGCATCCAGAGAGTAAGTATAGTGGCTTTTACGCGGCGTCATAGAAGTTAAGAAAAAATAAATTTGGTGTCTGATATAAAGAAGCTCTATTAAGTTAAGTTATCCTTTCCGCACGCCGTAAGCAATGGTCATGAGTTCAAATTGTGTTTGATCTGCGGCAAAAAATCGAAAACGATTCCGCTCGGTATACGCTATGAAAACATCTGATAAATTGGCAATATTAAGAAGTTGTGTTAAGTAGTCTGGAAGTCAAATTAAACTGTTAATTTTTAAAGCTTTAAGTCATTGAAAGTAACAAACAATAGCAGACAAAATAACTTAATCACATCAATCTCTTGGTGATCTACACAGAAATGTAAAAATTCTTCAGAGCTGTTCAGGATTTCGATGAAGCAAAAAATATATCGAAAACAAAAATTGTTTTGTAAATATTAATATTTATACTCCCATCTAGATTGACGCAGAGTATAATATTTTTGTTCACCTAACGATGATAGAGATAACAATAGAGATAGATCAAGAGTTAAATATGTTATATCGAAATTATCCACGCCAGCGATAACTTGGTACAGTAAAGTAAGAAAGAACTTTCAAAAGGGTGGGCCCTACCCTGGGTAGGTTTATTGTAACAGATTATTTGAATAACAACGGTTACAACTAAAATTCCACCAAAAAGGACCAAATCGCCGAGACTTTCGAAATATGAAAATAGTTGCTATGTTTGCTTTACCCTATAAATACATACAAACACGTAAATTCATATCAATTTGCATGAATTACTTCGTGTAATTAAGATCTTTGATTAAACTACTCATTAATTAAAATTTTGCTTTCGCTGCACTTATATTTAATAATCTCTTAATATGTGTTCGATGTATTCCATAATCTACCTATATTATATATTCTAATTAGTCTTGCCATAAATTCTGTTACGAAGTTTACAATGCATACAGCGAGGACAAAAACAAAATACAATTTAAAAAAAGTATTCAATTCGCGTCCGTTTTTTAACAATTTCCAAGCATTTTTGTATTGCGATTTCTTACGCGTACTTCAATAGCAAAAGTTTTTGCACAGTTCAACATTGTTTGACACCGCCCAGGTGACAAATTTCTCTAAAAAATTTATTGGTACTTCATGTTTAACCTCATTAACCGCATTGTCTAATTGAGTAGTGGAATGCACATTATCTGCACTGGCATTTGCATGGAAATCTGCAAAACCATCATCACTATTTCACTCATGAATATTTGCGATTTCAACTGAACACTTAGAAATTAATTAGAAAAACAACACTAAACGCTATTAAAATAATTAATACCAAAATTTTACATCAGAGAATACTGCTACTCCCTGGGTCAATATTGATTTCAGGATGTTTTCACCGTCACGCTTAATAAGTTATGCTATTGATATAACATCCTCTTCCTCGAACCTTACGGAATCATAATTTAAAATATTTCTCCAACAGCTTTCGATAGAATTCTTTGACAGTTTTCCCAAGAAAACGTGAATAGGGATACAGCATCGAAAATATTAATACGTTTTAAAGCTTCTTCTTATCCGTTCCACCAACAATAATTTTACTCAAAAGTTCAGTTTCTTACCCTGAAGAAGTTTGTAAAACCTAGAAGCAAACACCAGAGATGTATAAATGATCAGAGTGACGAGCTGAATCAATTTAGCCATAAACGTCTGTTTGTCCGTCTGTATATATGCGAATTAGTCTCTCAGATTTTGAGATAGCGATCTAATGTTAAAAACTGAACGATCGGAATTAAGTGCTTGTATGGAAACCTTTTTCATTTGAGGAAATATATTGACGAAATTAAGCATGGGTTATTGTTTAAGGCGATCATGCAATCTCTGAAAAAATTGTTGAGATCGAATTGCTATAGCATATAGCTGCCATTCAAACTGACCGATCAAAGTCAAGTTCTTGCAAGGAATATTTTGTATTTGTGAAAGGTGTTAAAGCTTCGGCCCAACCGAAGTTAACGTTTTTTCTTTTTTGTTTATTATACAATCGAACGACTTTGGAACTCCATATTTCACGGATATGTCCTTTTATGAAAGCCCCTTGTTGGAATCGAAACTCTTTAGTTTATTTTCCAATTATAACCGCTTCTATTTGACATTGCATATACTAAACCAAACAAAATAGAACCAGTCGGTATTCTGAACTGGCTGAGTTACGTTCAATTGAAAGTTAATGGAAACTTGAAAAAAAATCATTTATATTTACTGCAGATGTTGTACAACAGTTTTTGCAAAGAATGCGAAGTTTAACGTAAAATTATAGCACCATTCGCAATATTGAATAATTAAAGTGCCAAGCGTTTCTAATATAGAAACATCATTATATCATAAATTATTTTTGATGGTTCGTTAAATAGAAAATTCGTTGTTTCGAAAGTTCAATATACCATACATACTGGACGACCACTGTATAGTAATCAGTTCAGTGTTTGGTTTTGCTTATTAACAATGTATAAATCGTATAACGGTAATTGCTTTACATAACTGGTAAAAATATAACAAGTCAAAAACCACGCAACCGTTTCTTAAAAGCAATATTCCTGGTTTCATAGCTGCAGATGGCTGGCCGTCTGATAGCCCAGACTTTAATATTTTGGACTACAGTTCGTGACCAGAGTTGGAGAAGATATCCTGTCGAATACCCCATAGAAATTTGGAGAGTTTCAAAAAATGTTTGGCTCTAGCAGCGTTATCAATATCAATAGAAACTGTCCGTGCTGCTATTTATCAATTTCCGAATCGTTTGAAGGCTTGTATGAAAGCCAAAGGTGACCATTTCGAATAAAGTTTTGTACATCGCTCATTTAATATATATTCTACATTACTAAATAGAATTAACCTTACTAAAAAATGCACTTTACATAGTTTCAGTTGTATGTATTTATAACAACCTAAATTTGTATCAGAACTTATGGCAAACTACGTATATCCTATATTCTTAATAGTTAATCCTTCATACTTGTATGTATTATTTCATATATTCTGCATTTTCTGAGATGAAATTTTCATAAATTGAGCGAAGCGCGTAAATTTTCGTAATAAAGTTGAACGATTTGTAAACGTTGTTCAGGCGTAAGTCTTGAAATGCCAAACAATACTGAACGAAAATAATATGTCAACTTAACACTACTCACGCGTGATCTGTCAAAGAAAGGCTATTGAAAAAAGTAACTCTACTTGGATCACTCGTTATGTATAAATGCTCAGGTCATTTGATGCATAACCTTAACTGCTGATAACTTTTAAACGAATGTTTATACGAAAAAATCATTAAGACCTTTTTTGTATAATGGAAATTTTTGTATTCGAATGTCGCCTTTTCTGAGTTGTAAATTTACTTACTTAATTCAAAGAATCAAAAGTCCGACGTTATATACATAAGGACAAAAGGAATATGATTTAGGCACGGTTAAATTGAAAAATTAATACATTGCTTATATTCGATCCTTTTTTTTTAAGACTAAAGCTGAAAATTCACTACTAGCACACAACTAATGTATATGCACAGGCATCCATAGACTTCCGAAGAAATTATTAAAACTTCTTTATATGTTCAAGCTTGGACATAAATACATATACTCTACATTGTCGTTTTTATTTTTGTACATTTTTACGGTAATTTGCAGCTTTCTTGCAGTTTATGGAATACACATCGAAACGGTATATTGCACCCTTTATTTCATGGATGGGTACAAGTTGTTTTCTTTACGTTAATGACCCGGAAACAGTGGAAACGATTTTCAATTCTCCGCACTGCACGAACAAAGGCGAACTCTATCGTTTTCTGGCTGCAGCAATTGGCGACGGACTCTTCACGTCCAGCTGTGAGTACAAATAAATAAGACACTTACACATACACATGCGCTCTTGCATACAAAGTTGCACGTACTAATTTGAACTAATGGCTAGCCCGTGATAACACTTAGCCTCCGACGCACGCCTCGGGACATAAACATCCACACACTTAAACGTCATTTTGACTATTATTGTTGAAATTGATTTGGGTCAGTCATAAAAAAGTGTCAAAGTCATGTTCATATTGACCCTCAAGTTGTTTTCCCCAAGTCATTTCTCTCTACACTCTCTTTTAGCGCACCGCTGGAATAAGCATCGTCGTCTTATCAATCCAGCTTTTAGCCGCCAAATTATTAACAACTTCCTGCCCATTTTCAATGCGGAAGCCGATGTGATGCTGAGAAAATTCAGCGCCTTGGCCACGACCGGAACACAGTTGGAAATCTATGAGATGTTGAAACGTAACGTTTTGGAGGCAGCATGTCGTAAGTGTTGTGATTATGAGGAGCAGCTGTGCGGCAACAAAGCATTTAATATGTTTTCTCTTTTTTTCGGTTCCTCATTTGTCTATTTAATTGTGAAATGAGTTGTATAGAGACTACAATGGGTAAACGAATGAATTTCGAAAACGAAGGTTCGGCGCATATCTTCGAAGCCTACAATGGGTAAGCGGTTAGCGATGACAAACGTAAAATATACTTAAACACTAATACTGTGCAGAAAATATATGAAAGATTTAAGAATTTTCGAAATCTCTAACGTCGTGCTGAGTTGGGAGAAGAACAGAAAGCCATGAACTCGGGAAACACGAGCAAAGATTTTCGAATAAAATTATATTTGGTTTTCGGAAAATTGAAATGTGCCTAAATTGGTTTGAAGCAATAATGAATATTAGTATTCTCGATTCTTTATAGCTTAAATTAGAATTACATAGATTGATTTTGAGGAATACACTGGGACCTGTAATCTATTGTGTCCTCCCTGTTATCACAACACTTCGTTTAGCACACTCAAATCAAAGAGGCTTAATAAGGCCAATTATGAGGCCGATAACCAGACGCCTTCTTCTTGTGATTGCTTGGCTTTCAAGGATATATGCTTTGGTGTCTCTGCTCTTTGGTCACAAAAGCGACCAAGATCTGTGGAGCAGTACCCTAATATGTGCATATGACGCCAGTCGACGCCCAGGCACTTGCCTCTTGCCGTAACTCCTCTCGTAAAGTGTGTGTGGACCCATAGCGACACAGTGCCCACAATTCCGATTCTATCAGACTGGTTTGTCGCAGCTTCTTTCACCAAGAGATCAGCTGGCTCTTTTACCTGGATGCCTCTATGCCCAATGATCCATGCTAGTAAGATGTTTTTCTCAATGGCAACCCTGTCCAGCATTCATATGCACTCCAGCACCATTTTTGGTGCCACTTGACTATCGCTGGGAATTACAATTCGTTCCACGAGATAGCTTTTCTCTAGAATAATCTCTGCAAATCTGCTAATGACATATACGTCAGCTCGAAAAATGCTTGGAAATAATGAAGGTCTGTGTTATTATTTAGCAATTTAAAAGAATAATTATCTGTATGCCCTTTTTAAATTCTTGATTGGTTTCCATTTAAATTTCATGAATTTTAGTTTTTACTACCAAAGTTTCCATTTTGTCCCACAGTACAATACTTGTTTAACCAACAGCATTGTCGTCTCAATTGCTTCACGCTTTTCCAACTCATTTGCCAGTTGTGCTTTCAATGTATTTTGAAAAGTTTCGCTTTTGTCTACACTAAATGCACACACACACATCCACACACTCACACGTCTTTGAAATAAGCATTCATTTTCCTTAATTTTATTTCTTTTTCATCGCTTCCTTTCACTTACCACTTAACTATCTGCATATGTATGTGTGTATACATATGTATATAGCATCACCGAGGTGTGTGTGCGCCGCATGCTGTCGCCCTGGCTTTATCCGGATTTGCTCTATCACCACTCGTCGCAGTTCGTGCGCCAGCAGCAGGTCGTTCAAGTGCTCTTCAGCTTCATTGATAGTGTAAGTAATGCAGATATCTATATCTAGAGCTATTCATATATATCTAGAAACTATTCACATTCCCGCTCATTGCTTGGCGGCTGGGTGGCAGTCTGCTCAACTCATCAACCGTTACAGTGATTGTTCCTTTGACGCTTGCGGCTAATATCTTTTAATTCTGTTTTTCTTCTTCTTCTATTTCTTCTCCTTCTTGTACCGCAATCGCTACCTCTCACACTTTTCCAGCTGCTACAGCTCAAAAATAATAAATCAGATGCAAATGGTATAGGGCAACAACAAGTGCAACAACATGCCTCAATGAATGGAAAGCAAAGTGAAAATTGCTTAAAGTCTGCTAATGAGAGTGAGAGTGTATTTGGGCGAAAGCATATAATTGGTAAAGTGGGTGTGGATGCTTCAACGGATGTGGATGCGGATGCATCAGCGGCCATACGGAAGTCGAAAGCCATATTTGTAGAGCAAGTTCGTACGCATGTGGAGCAAGGTCAACTGTCGTGGGAGGATGTGCGCGCCGAGGCGAATGTCATCATAGCGGCGGTGAGTTGAGTCTTTTACGAAAAATGATATTTAATCAGTTCTTGGTTCTGCTTTGAGGCGGTAGTGTTGAGCTGAGTGAACTTCCCATTTAATTTATACAAATAGAATTTTAGAACACTGTTTCGAAAGACGAAAAACGTGTTTAAAGTTTTAAGTCACTATATAGCTGACCGCCTGTGCGCAACTTTTCAAAGCTGTATCTCCAAAACTATCACTCGGCTCAACTTGAGCATTGAGCACAATACTCTAGGGATGTTATGATGAATTAAAGAAGACAACAAAAACTGATTTTTGAAGCCGTGAAACCCATGTAACCCCTTAACGATCTTAACAGGCATCTCACTTGGACAGCTTAGAACGTTGGTCCATTGCGGTACCTAAAACTCCTATACTTATATAACTGAACTTAAGACAATTTTGTTGAGACGGCTAATGGCAGTTCCCACTATGTCTCCTAATTCGTCGAAGGTAAGACTTCCGAGTTGTTTCATCCTCGGTCTTGCAGTGGCTGGGCAATGAAGGAGAAAGTGCCTGAATGTTTCCACCTCATCCTCCTCCATACAATGTCGTTACCGTTCCGATGTGAGCGGGGCAAAGGTGTTCCCTTTATTTGTATAAATAATCTCAGAAAAGCTTGAGGTAATTATTTTCTAGACATCTAGAACTCAAAATATCGCTCTCAAATATTTCAATATTAAAAGTCTGATCAAACTTGAAAAGAGTTTTTGAACATTGACCGGACAGTATAACTGAGTGGGAGATTGTTCACAATGCCTTACCTAAACTCAATTACTAAATATTAACCGATGTAAACAAAAATGCAGAGTCTTTGAGTTTAGATTGCGTCGGATATACACAATCCGAATTTCTCCGGTTATATACCCCATACGCCAACTGACGTGAAATAATTATCACTTCAAAGCACGATACGAGAGGTGAGGCACCATTTAAGCCGTCGGATTTTCACGCGGTTAAGAAATTTATTTGGGTAATATTTTAGACCGCTGCAACAACAATAATAACACAACTTGAGGAAGAGTTAATTCTATTACTTTTTCTTTTTTTTTTAGAAATTTCCTATTTTTCATAGTTCCTCATTCACTTCTGCCTTATTTCTTTGCTAGACCTTCGAAACCACTTCGACAGCTTTATATATCGTTTGTTTGTGTCTCGCCATGCATCCCGAATACCAAGAAAAACTGTATGATGAACTCGTCACAATCTTCCCAGAAAACGAACCACCGGTCGTTGACTATGAGCACCTGGAACGAATGCCTTACACCGAGATGATAATTAACGAAGCGCTACGTCTCTACTCACCCGTACCGATGGTGCTACGTAGCGCAGCCGATGATTTTCGTCTACGCAATGGCGTACTTATACCGCGTGGCACACAAATCGGCATCGATATTTACAACATGCAACGCGATGAACATATCTGGGGACCAGATGCGAAACAATTCAAACCGGAAGCACACTTCGGACCTAATGCGGCGAAACGGCATGCTTTCGCTTTTATACCTTTCACCAAAGGATTACGCATGTGTATTGGTTATCGTTATGCGCTGATGCTGATGAAGGTGTTCGTGGCGAAAATATTTCGACAATACCGTTTGAAGACCGAAGCAACACTCGATCAGCTAGTTGTTAAGGGTACCATATCGCTGAAACTGGCCGAATATCCGTTGTGTCAGTTGAAGGCACGCAGCAGTTGAGTGTTTAGGATTATTATTCGAAGAACTATGGTGGCGAGATTGGAGTAGGGTTATAGTGTTTGCATTAAAAGTAGCAAAAAGCGAGCAAATAGAGAGCGAGCGCTAAGTTCGGTGTTGGTTGTCTTAGTAAAAAAAAAATGTATGTACAAACATATATTTTTTTTGTTTTTTATTAATTATATTTATTTATTTTTAATCAAAATTGTTAAAATTGTTGTTATCCGTTATCTGTTTGTTTTTGTAATATTCACAAGCTGCTTTTCCTTACGACTACTCCTACATTTGCGCTTAGCGTTTACTTCCTTACAATATTTTTTTAATTTTCGGGTTTTTCATTTTTATTTTCGAAATTCTTAATTTTTTTTTATTTGCTGTTTTGTGGACTTTTCTGCTTTTCTGACAACAGTTGAGGCATGTGATTAAGTATTAGTGTGTGCACAATTTTGCAATGTGAATTGTTGTTGTAGATTAATTATATGTAATTGCTCATTTTTATTTGTAAGTTCAATTATTTTTTTGATTAAATTTTTTTTCAAAATTTTTCTGCTCATAACGACTAAACCTGTTAATTTTACTACGTTGATTGAATGAATTTTATTTCATTTAAATTTTTTTCCGCTTACACTACTATTTTTATTTAATTTTGCTTAAAAATAAAAAAAATAAATTCAAATTAATTTTGGCTGGATTAAAGCTTTTTTAGGAAGCCAATTTTCTTACAGTTTGGGTTACGTGTTGTCCAAATTTAACGGTGTTTACGGTAGTTTGCGTTTAAATATTTCTTTATTAAAGTAAAAAAGTTTCCAAGCCTTTGCTGAAGCTTATTTATAAATATATGTTCACAACTATATACAACTTATCTTATATAAAAGATTTTTTGCTTTGAAAATACTGTGTACTTAATATCTTACGTAAGTGTTTCAACAAAATGTGTGGAATTCAGATATTGTATTTGAGGAAAGCCAAGAAGAAATACAAAGGAGTACAATAGAAAAACGAACCCTGGGACCAATAAAAACATGACTTAAGTAATAAAACCCGAGTAAGTTATGTGGAAGATTAAAACATGTCAACAATGGGTTAGATTCCGACTCCATGTTAAGCTTTTCAGCGCTTTATTCGGCTTTCAAACTCTTAAGCTGAATAAGTGCTCAAAGCCAAAAGAGTTGAAAGGCCTGGTATGGAGCTAGCAGCCGTATTAGTTGGACCATGCTATGTTAGTGTGAGGTATCATTTCAGAGATCTACATACATTTAAGCAAACACTCATTATACAAATACAAGAAACGAAAGAGCACATACGCCCCGCTCCTCGATTTCAAAGAAGCTTCCGACCTCCTACTAAACTTGGATGGCTATGTAAAGCCATTAAATAAAGGATCATTTATCAAAACTTGTTCCTTCCATTTAAAGATTGCGATTACTTTTTCCAAACTAAGCTATGGATTTTTTGGGACATAGTCTTTTAAGCCCAAATTCAGTACGCGAGCCTCAACCAGCCCTCTCAACTATTTTAGGGTACATTTAAGGCGTTTCTAAGAGAAGAAGCTGCTACTTCTGTTTTGAACCTGCTTCATACGAATCAGTAATCTATCAATACTATAACTACAAATTGGAGAATACAGTTAAACAAAGAGGAAAATGAAAGCGATTCATTTGAGAAAGCAGAGGTACGCATGCGCAATTACGTTCTGTATATAGATTCCTATTTTTCTATACTACTAGTAGGCCCTGACATATCCAAGCTACAGTACTGCTAGCTAAACGTTCTCGCATAACACTAACCATCAGAAAACCACAATTAATTTAAAGCAATGCTTCCGAGTTGACAGTCCTTGGTCGTGTAAAAAGCCGGGTTTGTTCCGTTAACGTATACCAGACTGCCGTGGGAACGCTAACAAACTCTTTCTCAAGGGTTCTATCGCTTTACAATAGCTTGTTTCCTGACCCTATTGCTTTGGTGGCAATTATCCTGTCTTGCGTCCAAACACTACAACACTAACAACCAGGAAAAAGTGTTTAAAAGTATATTAAACCAAAAAATGTGTTTAACTGCTTAATCCGTTGAGTAATAAAAATGTAGAGCGGCAAAGACGAAGGCGCTTCAGTTTACTCTTCGTTATAATCCGTTACTTTCGGCAACCTAGAAGAAATCTGACCGTTCTGGTATTCTTATACCAAAATAAAAAAGTGAGAATGGGCGAACCTTGCTAAGTACGAAAAGTGATGTTTTTTTCAAGAGTAAAGGTCTATAGAAATCTGTAAAAAGCTTTAATCGATCCTATTTCTTTTTGAGACGCCCAGCTATGCCTAGTAATTGTGTTAACGAGACCCACACGGTTAAAAATTACATGGTTAAAGAGTGGTGTCTACGTATGTATTTAATATTTTAATGTATTTTTGTATTTTTTTTTTTATTTATTTACTCATACAACATGTTCATATTTTTCAAATTTATTTCAATTATTTTTCTTCGTTTCTTTTTTTTACTTGTGACTTTGAAAAGTTTTAATTATAAAAAGCATGCTTTTAGGCGCAGCATGTTTTTCGCTGACTATAAAAGCTTTTGTTTTTGATTTTTGTGTTTATATTAAATATTGTTGTTCTTGTTGTTTTTGTTTTCCTTCTTCTGCCATAAAGCTGCGTATGCAACGCTCATTAGCTTATTAAATAGTATTCATGTATTTTTTGTTCGTGTAAAAATATGCAAATATTGTTTTAGCAAAGTAAATTTAGCTGTACACATACATACATATGTATGCATGTATTTTAGGTATGTATGCATGTATATATGTACATATATATTTTTATTTAAATTATTTTACGCTTAATAGGCATTTCAAAAAGTGGACGCTGATTGCATTTGTGGCATTTTTAGGCATTAATTATGCTAACACACACATACATATAGATAATTGGTATTTATACATACATATTTATATGTATGCATGTTGCTTGGTATAAATATTTTGTTTATTGTAAACAGACATTATCATGTGTTGCATGTACGACGGTGAGCTGTTGTGACGGTAACGGTGCAAGTGACGGTGCAAGTGACGGTGCTTTTTAGTTTTTTTTGTAAAGCAATTATTCTGGCTACTTTGGAGTATATTGAAAAATGTATGGCAAAAAAAATTTTTTTTTCAAAAACAATTGAAGTTAATAACAAAAACAAATTTAAGCAACAGATAATACTTGTTTATGTTTATTAAAATAGGTGGCTATTTTTACGAAAAACTACTCTTAAAAATTTAGAGAAATCGTTCTTTTACAAAAATGTACATATAAACGATTTGCATAAAAAACGTATATAAAAAGATTTTAAATTTGTAATTAAAAAAAATTTAGATATTATATGTTTTTTTAAATAAAATTAATTTTAACTAACCTTTATGTTAGTACCCGGGTACCCACCGCGGTGTATTTGTGGGAATAGCTTAAAAAAAATTCAATATTTCATCGTCGTTTTTTAACTTAAAAGAAAGCTATTTGTGAATTAATTTTTTTTTTGTTTTTTTTTTATTCTACGTTATTTTTTTTTTCTTTAAATTGTCACTGACTATTAATTTTTGAATTTAATAAAATAAACAAAATAATAATAATACCCCGGTACCCGGTTGCTAAAAGACGTCGGTAAAGTGGGTTACTAACATAAGGGTTAAACTAAGTTTTTGAGTTTTTATGTTAAAAAAAAAACATGTTTCTGAAAAAATGCCACAAAATTTTGTTTTAAAGTAAAAATGCATAAGAAGATTCGATTTTTTTTACAATAACTAATTTTACGGTAAAAATATCTCCACCAAAAAGTTAGAAATTCGTTCACATTAGACAGAAATTAATTATTTTTTTTTAATGTTTTTGGTTTAATTAAAATTTTTTTTTAACAAACATAAGTACGACAAAGTAAACCATTGATAAGTAAAATGCTACAAACTCTTGTTTTTATATCTTTCAAAATGTTGAGTTGTTACTGTGTTTATTTTATATATTTTAATTTAATTTTTTTTTTGTTGTTAATAATATATTGCTATAAACTCTTGCTTTGAGTTGTAATATCTTTAATATTTTTATTTGTTCATAATTTTTATTTCTGTATAATTTTATTAAATTGGGTTATTTAATTTATTTTTTATTACATGTTTTTTGTTTTCGTATGTTTTTTTATTGGGAATTTTTGTTTATTTATTTTTTAATACTTGTTTGTAGTTTTCATATTATTTTTTGGATATTTTATTTATATTTATTACATGTTTTTTGTTTTCGTACTTTTTTGTTGGGATATTTTATTTATTTATTTCATTACTTGTTTGTTTTTCTATTTTATTTTATTATTTATTTTTTTGTTATTATTATTATTTTTTTTTGCTGTGTGTGGACAATACTCGTAATTGTAACCACAGTAAACGTTATTAAGCGGTAGTTTTTATTATTTTATTTAATACTAATAAAAAGAGTAAATTTATTGCATATTGTAGAGTTATTTAGTTTGTTATTTTGTGGTGTTATGCGTTTTTATTACCTGTTTATTGGTTGTTGTGATTTTTCTTAATCATATACATTCATTATACATATTTATAATGTATTACATGCATAAGTATGTAGTTAATGCATAAAATTCACCTAATTAAAATCACTTTAGTCTGCAAATCACTGCTCATATAAATTATAAAAAATTATACAAGTTTTTTTCTCCAATTCCAAAGTGTTTAGCTTAAATGGCAAACCAAAAATTGCGCAGTTCATTGGTATTTACTTTTATTTGATGTATTTTATTTAATTAATTATTTAATTATTATTTTTATATAGTGTTTACTAATAAATTTTGCATGTCTGCTACTATTTGGGATATGCTACTGTAATTACCACATGTATGTAAGTATGTATGTATGTATTTTTATTGGTATGTATATTTACAAGCCACTACTAATTTAACTACATTTTTAGGTTAGCTTATTTTTTATGTTGTTACTATAACTTAAACTTAGTTTAACTTGCTAATTGCGTTTTACTTTTTGTTTTTTATTTTTAATTTTTGTATGTTTAAAGAAATGTTACGTGCTGTGTGTTTTCTAATTGGCTTGTATGTATGGATTTGTGTGAGTAGCACACTTATATGGCTATTTGCTGCTGCATTGTTGGGTCAACGTATCGGCTCGTATCTTATAAATATATATGCACTTTAAAAAAATAGCGTGCAATTATTGCTTATGATTGAACATTTCACATTGGCTTAAATTAATTATATATTTTTTACGGCATATTTTCTTCCTAATTATACATATATGCATGTATACTTGCAAACAGGGTTGCACATAATGCATAATGCAGAAAATAATTGATTTCAAATTTTAATTACAATTTTTTTTTTATTTTGTTATTTCAAAATTTTAATTGAAAATAATTTTTAAATTAAAAAATTAAATATTTCAAAATTTTAATTGAAAATAATTTTTAAATTTTTAAATTAAAAAATTAAATATTTCGAAATTTTAATTGAAAACAATTTTTAAATTTTTAGTTCCAAATACCGCAAAATCGCAAGACTAAACATTAAAATTATTATTTTTTATTTTTTTAACCCCAAACACCGGATTGAAATATTGAAAAAAAAGAGAATTTTTAATCTCAAGCATATAAATAGGAATAAAAAAAAATTATTTTAAAATTAATTTTAAATTTTTTCGTGTTTGCGTACTTTGGGTTCTAATATTTTGAACTAGAGCTTGCACAGCGTCATCATCATCAATAGACTAGAGCACTGGGCGCAAACTTACACATTCAAACGATTTATATGTTATTACTCATTTTAAACGGAATTAACAAATGAAAATCTAATTTTTGAAAATTTAAATTAAAAAGAAAATAAAATAAAAAAACAGATATTTAAAAAAATTAAAAATAAAAATTAATTTAGAAAATTAACATTAAAAAAAAAATTAATATTAACAAACATTTAAATAAAAAACAATTTTAAAAGTTAAGATTAAAAAATTAAATTTTAAATATTAAAATGAAAACAAAATGTTAGTTAAAAAAATTTTAAATATTAAAATTAATATACTAAATTTAAAATTCATTTTTAATCCCAAAATCATAGAACTAAACTGGGGTTGAAAACCCATTGGAATTAAAAATTTTAATTTTATTTTTTAGTACAAAATTTGTGAAAAAACTGCAACCCTGCTTACGATGCACTTTTCATTTAACACTTCATTATCGATATTCTACTTAATTCTTAAGTCTATTATTTGCTTTTATGCAACGTTTTCATTTTTTTCCTAATTATTTTTGAGTTTTACCCAAATTGCTAAACAATTATTTTATCATATTTAAAATACTTTGATGCTTGCTTGTGGGTATGTAAATGTTGTTGTTTCTTTTCTTGCTATATTTGAAGTGTATTTAAATATTATTATTTTTACATAAAATGCAATTTAAGTATTTATTGCAGTTATACTTATAGCTTTTATAGTTTTTTGATTTGTTTTACTTTAATTTTTTTGTTTTCTTTTGCTTAGAAAATTTGCTCGGTTTTTATTATTATTATTTTTTTTTTTTTGTATTTGTATTTGTCAAATCGAAGGCGCAAAATATGTTGACTATAGAAAAGCGTTACATTTACAACACAAGTATGAACAGCAACGTATGACATAACAATGCAAAAGTGCTAATATGAACTTAATTGTATACAAAAACATAATTGTTATTATTATTTTTGTTTTGCTAAAAAAGATAAACGCTTTCTTCTTACAATTCTAATCAACAAAATATTTATGACTAATATTTATGCAAAGCGCTAAATTTTTGCTTATCGTATTCTTTTTTGTTTCACTTTCCACTAAATAATATGGTTTTACATATTTTTTTTTTTCGAATTTTCGTTATTCTTTTTTTTTTATAGTATATGTATCTTTAAATTTTGTTTTAGCAACACAACAGCTAACCCGAGCTGTCTCAACAATTAATCACGCACACACATTTTGCATACAATTTGCATACCATTCTGCTACTAACGTTACTCGTCTATCAAATCTATCAAAATTTCACATTACCATTGCTCTGCATTGCTAAAAACGGTAAATGGCATTTAATATATTAGCTGGTACGCCCATTAACTTTCAGCGGGTTGATTTGTTGTGAACTCAGTTATGCCATCTTTGACCATTTTCTCCAAAATATCCGTTACGTAAACAGCTACATCGGTGTGACTGCGCTGGCCACGCAATATGAAAGGCATTTCCAACAATGGACCGTACTTGGGTCGTTCTCTCTCATCTTTATTTAAACTAACGTAATGAAATATTCAAGACAAAAAATTTTAAAATATATTATTTTTTATCGAGCTAGCAATGCGTGCTTACCATGTATTCACAAAATCTACAAATTCCTGTGAAAACTCCATGCCATTGTAGGAAGTCTGTAGGCGTGGCGGATCACCTTTCACAACCTGAATATGAATAAAATAATAAACAAATTAAAAAAATTGTGGCTAATAATTTTCAATTGTGTCTACACATACATATATACACTTAAAACTTTCAATTTAGCTCAAATTTATAGTCCGCTAAGTACTAAAACCATAGCAGTATGTTATTGTTGTAACGGTTATCTAACACAGCAGCATCTTCAACCACGTTTTTGGGTTATGTTTTTTACTGTCTCAATTACAACAAAAACGTCTGCCGCTTTCTTTACCGATTTAACCCAACCAAATCGGGCAACTAACATTACTAGTCAATATACTCACTTGATACAACTGTTCGAAAACTGAATCCCATTTCGGATAGGGAAACAAACCGGTAGCGACCTCCATCAACGTTATACCCAACGACCAGACATCACTACGTACATCGTAGCCCTTAGCGCGCTCGGGATCAATGCGTTCAGGCTAAGCAAGAAAATTTTTTATAAAATTTCATAAACTGCAATTACATGTTAAAACTTAATACAAACTTACCGCCATATATGGCCTACAACCGGCATCCTTGGTCTCCGCAATCGAGTCCACTAATTTGCCACAAATACCGAAATCACACAGTTTGATATCGCCACGGCGATGCAATAAAATATTGCTTGGTTTAACATCACGATGAATAATCGATAATTCTTCCTTTAAGTAGTTTAACGCTTGCACAGTGGCCACAGTAATTTTAGCTAATATCGACTCTGGTATACGTTGTTGTTTACGTTCGTAAATATATTTATAGAATTTATCCAATGAGGTATCCATTAATTCCATGCATATCCAGCAATCACCTTCCTTAAAGAGCGCACCATAAAACTGCACTATGTAGGGACATTCGTTTGAATTCATCACCACTTCCAAATCCATTAACAATTGTTTTTGTTCTTTCTCATCGACAGTGGATCGTATGCGTTTCACAGCCATTACTTTGCCTTCTTTAAATATCATCTTGTTTACAGTGCCAAATGCTCCGCGACCAATTTCACCAAGATCGGTTAAATCGTCCGAAGTAAAGTGATAGCATTCTTCATCGATGAGTAGCTTTCCGCAGGCTTGTTGTTTAATGCGTTCGCGGGTGCGTTCTGTAAAAGTGGAAAAATATAATTTTTTTTATTTATTAATTGTGTTGCTTTATTTTATTTATTAATTGTGGTGCTTTGCGGTTATGTTTGCCACGAAGTTTTGAACAGCCAAAAGGAAACGTCGCAGACCCTATAAAATATATATTCTCACCAATATGTCGGAACCGCCGATATCGGACAACTATAGCATATACATAGCTACCATAAAAACTTGCCGATCAAGTCCTTGTGAGAAAAACTTGTTTATCTGACAAGATATCTTATACGAAATTTGGCATGTAATATTGTCTAAGGAAACGCTAAAATGTCTGTAGAGATTTTTCAGATCGCACCACTATAGCATATAGCCGCCATACAACTTGACCGAACAGAATCTAGTTCTAATATGGAAACTTTTGTATTTGTGAAGGGTATTCTAACAACCGAAGTTAAAAATGTTGAGTTATGTATTTATATATACCTTGATTGTTTGTTGTTGCAACTGGCGGTGCTACCGGTGCTACCGGTGCCACTACAGGGGCCGGTGCTGGTGGTGCACAAAATCGTTGCACCAAATTGTGTGAAGAGGAACTGGAGGCAGACGATGTAGACAAATTGGACGAAGCTGAACCGGATGAAGTTGACGAAAATGAAGGTGGTTGTCGACCATTAAAACTACCCAAATTCAATTCACTTGGCGGATTGCGAGGACGGCTACTTCCACCTTTATTTATAATATAAAACGTATATCAATACAATAAAAATATTAAATATACTAGACTTACCCGCAAAAAGATTACTTGGACGTTCGGCCATTTGATTTTTTCTATTTAAAGTACTTTTAGGATATAGTATACTTAGTTAAAATAACTCCTCTCACTACGACTGCTAACGTTGGCAATTTATTGATCACAAATTTTATGTGTATATTTTGAAATTTAGTTGTTTGTATCGACCACAGGATAAAAAATGTTTAATACTAAATCAAACCGCTATTAATACAGCACCTCGTTGCAGTTGCAGGTGCAGATACAGGTGATCCTTGTCGATTTTTCCACAAAACACCGAAAGAGCGAAGGAACAACAGTGTACAAATACAACGGCAGCAAGGAGAATGACTGTCTGTCATACAATTGTCAATTTCGGCCACGAATCAATTTCACTATTTATTGCTGACTATTGGCTACGGATATAATTTCTGATATATATAATTTATGTAACACGCACAACGCGTGTAAAAAAATCTGTAACAAACTGCTGCACAAAATATTAAATTTACACTTTTATCTCCAGTGAAAAGTTTATAAGTTCTTTTGTATGAATCCACTGAAAATGATTAAAAAGAAAATGTCAAAGAATGGTAGCGTTGCATTTGAATATAATAGAATCATTAACAATTTTCTTCTATACTGGGGTGTATCAATCTCAAGGAAATTTCTTTAAAGTGTTTTCCAATGGTTCGAATTTCTTAATTCAAAATTTTTGGATCACAAATTAGATTTTCAAGACGTTAAAAATTAAAAATTAAGAATTATTTAAAAATTAAGAATTTAATGTTTAATCTGTTAGTTAAAATTAAAAATTAATTAATTAATTTTGTATTTTGAAATTAAAATTTAAAATATATATGTTTTAAGAGATTTGGTATTTTATTTTATAATTATATGGTAAATATATTATTAATAGTATAAACTTAAATTTTTATTTTTAATCGGAAAATCAGTATTAAAAATTGATAATACCATATACATCCTGAACGGACACAGGTTTCTAATCGGCAGGGAATGAACATATATACTAATGTTTTCCTCTGTAATCAAACTCGTGAATCAGGCATTAAGTGCCAGAGCTGACTTTGTACAGAAAAGATCGGTCATCGTGAGAAATATATTATTATATTGGGAGGAAGTCTTTTCCTGATAATACTGTAACCTAGTGTCAGAAATGCATAACATCAGGTAAATACCTTCTCAAGCCCCTACCAGCCCTACCTAATATAAAGATTTTGTAACCTCCGTTTGACTCTATACTGTATACATATATTGGTCAATCTATTAGGTTTCTTAAATAAATTTATAGAGGATATTTTTTTGCTAATATGTCGTAATGCCATGATGGATTAATACGATTTCAAACTTCGGGTTGCCTTTATACCGTATACGAGTGTATCGGTCAATATATAAGATAAAATAAAATTAATACAGAAAATGGGTAAAATTGGGCAACGAATTAACCCAGCTACCATATACCACATATAATAATGACATATGTCGGTTAGTGTGTGTCTTCTCTTCATAAAATTGCATGAAAATATGTTGCTGCCGAATAAATTTGAGTAATGTCACAAGTATAGGTAAGCAGTTCAGCTCTTCTCCAAGCTCAAATTCATCCGATATAGCGATTCCTGACTTTCTTGCTGACTTTAAACCGTTTATGTAAAATGAATGGAGTCTTCTAAGCTCCTTATCCCTAATATAACAATTTCCGTTTCACTGGTCGGTTCCACCACCTATAATATAACTTAATAAGACACCATACATTATTGTAATTCGTTTACCTTTTGGCGGAATAAAACTTTGTTCTACGCTCTGACAAAATTTTTTCAGTTATGACTGTAAAATTGCTGGTAAAATGATTGTCGCTGTTCTTAGGAGTAATCAGGGAATGTTAATGAAGTTCTCTGCTTCAATAACAATAGTATCTACTGTGAATGGTTAGTTGTAAGAACAAATCGTTTTTGTTCGTTCGCTATATTTTAATACATACTGAATGTACTGAACGAAAAATTCTTCATCAAAGTAAATTTGACAATCATTTTGTTTACAAACAAGTTTGTTTTGTTTATTTATCCTATGGATTGGCCAACGGAAAAACTGTTACGACTCATTGAGCTTTTTAAAAACACGCGCTGCCTTTGGGATCCTCAGGATAGAAACTATAAGAAAAGTAATATTAAAGACAAGGCTTGGAATAACATCAGCGATGAGTTGGGAAGGAATGCCATTGAGATTAAGAAAAAGATGGAATCGCTCCTTGCTTCCTATCGTCGAGAGCGTAAAAAATATGAATTAGCTTTAAGTGGTTCCCATGCGGACACGGGGTATATTTCAAAGTGGTTCGCGTTTAATGCCATGAGTTTTATGTCCAAGAGATCATTTGATAAGAGACCCTTACACGATATAGTATGTATGTAAAATTAAAATAGTGCAAATAACTTTTAATGTTATAAAAATTACTTTTGTAGCATCATGATCCTTTGGACGAAATCTTACAAGATAGTTCTCACAGTCAGGACTTCTATGAGGTTAATTCTAAGCGTATAAGACCAAATAGGGAAGAAAGCCGACGAAGAAGTGCAACATTTGATGTGGCACAGCCTGCAACCAATAAAGAAAAAGAGTGTACAAACTGTATTAACAGGAGTGCTGCCGAATTCAAAAGACGAGATGCTAGTGATATATTCGGAGAATATGTTTCTACGAAGCATCGAAAATATAGTGATCATGTCAAAAATGTTATAGAACATCAAATTGCACAAATCTTGTTTGACGCAGATATGGGTCTCTACAATCCCGGCACAACGACGACAGTTACGATATCCGCCCAATCGCCGATTGTGGAAACGGACACAGGAGGCACTTCGGAAATCATTTATGAAAAATAGCTACTGCGAAATAATTTACCAAAAATAAAATTAAAATAAATGCATTTTTTGAATACGCACTATATTGCAATTTTATATCAGAATTCTATTTTACAGTTTGGTCCTACACTATCGCATATCAGCAAATACAACAATTTATTGTAAACTGTCTGAAATGAGTATAAATAAAGCGACAGCTTTGCTCTTACTTATCAACACCACGGTATTTACAGTGTGAATGACGTCATAAGCAAGAAGAGGAATAGCAACATAAACGATAGCGCAGATTTACATATTTAGAAAATCAGTATACAAAAGTTTGTTCTTTTTAAAAATGAAATGTTCAGTGGCAGGATGTAGCACCGATTATATGAAGAATCCATTGAAAAAAACTTTCTATGGTTTTCCAACCAACGAAGCCGTTGCCGTAAAATGGGTTTTATTTTGCCAGCAACCAAAAGAATTTAACCATAAGAGTAAGTTTATTTGCAGCGACCACTTTAAAGATGATGACTTCCTAAATATTAGACAATATAAAATGGGTAAATACTTTTATATTATAAATCAATGCAAAACATTACTTAACATTTCTTACTAAAACTAACATAAAATATTAAGGTTTTGCAATGCGACTGAAAATAAAACGTGGTGCGGTGCCAACTATTCGTCGAATCTCAACAACAATACGGGAGCAACGTATTAAACGGAGGGAACAAAAACAAATTGTCAATGATCTATTGCGAAAGTATAACCAAGAACAGAAAGGTATTCGTTAATCAAAATGTCAAATGTATTTATTGGATATAACTTCGACTTAATTTTAGCGAAAATGAAATTAGCTGATAGTGAATTTGACGAAATATGCAGCACTCAAGCCGCCAAAGGCTCAGCGCCAATTACAAACGATATAAATGACAAAGAAGACTCTGTAGAGGAAATGGAGAAAATTGTCAGTGAATTTGACGAAATACCGATGCCTCAAGCTACCCAAGGCTTAAGGTCAGTTACAAAGAATACAAATGACAAAGATGACTCAGTTGAGCGAATAGAGTTAATTGCTGGTGGATTTGACGAAATATGCAGCACTCGAGCTACCCAAGGTTCAAGGTCAGTTAAATTCGCTAAGATATCGGAATTAACTACAAATAATGATAAAGAAGAAGAGGCAATGTTGGAAAACGGTATCCGCAATGATATTAAGTTTGAGGAAGTGATGGTAGGGAATAATATGGACTATCCAGTTAATGTGTTTGAGGAAGTGGATGAGCTGCGTGAACAAATGTAAGTACATTCATTGTTATCTAACTATAAAAAATGATAAATGAATTTAATTTATTTACCGACAGCAAACTTTTGCGTAAAGATAATATTTGTCAGCGCCGAATTAATAAGGGATTGTCCAATAAGCTTGAAAAGTGGAAGAAATTAAATATAGAGAAGGATATTCGTTATGCTAACAGGATTAGTAGGGTGCATGTGCAATTAAAAAAGAAAACTCAGGAATGCCAAAATCTAGAGGAAAAGCTAAATGCTATTTTCACCTGTGGGCAAATTAATAAAATGAAATCCTTAAAATCTAATTATCAATGGGATGAGGAGGATATTGCCAAATCCTTAATTCTATATAGATCAAGTGGCAAAACGTATAAGTTGCTTTACGATAATGGTTTCCCTCTGCCATCAGTACGTACTTTACAGAGACGGATTTTTAGTCATAAAATCGACACAAACAAAGATGCAAATGAAACAGAAAACACAATTTCAACAGAAAACATGATTGATATAATGGATTCAGAGAATATAAATGATCCAATAAATATAATTGACCCAGAAAATATAATTGAAACAGAAAACATAATTGAAACAGAGAATATAATCGAATCAGAGAATGTAATTGCACCGGAAAGCATAATTGATCCAGTAAATATAATTTCGGATATTCATATGAACGATCAAACATTCGCTGAATATGCAATTATGATAAATATAGCTTAAATATGTTTTTACATATGTACATATATTCACCAGAATGTTTTTAGCCTCTTGGAAAAAAATTCTCTTTATTTACCATTTGTATGTGTGACAGTTTTGGTTTTAATTTTTCTTTTGCATTCTTCCCATTTGTTTGCTCCTGACGTTTCTTTGTAATTTTTAATAACTTGTGTTATATTTATGTTTCAGCGGGAATGCAGGGACAACTTAAGAATTTTCCTTTAGCATGTGTATAAATTAATTAAATTTTAAGTGTATAGAGTACAAGACTGGGACACTTATTAAATATAATATAATTTTTTAACGCTTTGAAGACAGAGTATAAAAGTGGTTTTGATGTTACGCGATATGTCCAAACAAGTTTAATGAAAGAAGTGCATTTCCGGTACCAATAAGAAATACTTGGAATCCTTTTACTTATTGCGAATGATACACTTCAATTGACAGCCGTCGTCGCGCGCAAAATTTGGTACAACACTTACTCTCTATCTCTTTTTATACAATCAGCTGTCAGTATCCTAAATACCATGTACGAAAGAGAAGAATACCAGCTAACATTTGTCAACGGAATTAAGCGGCATTTTGGTTTGCAGTAATCAAAACGCATTCAGATTCCATTATACTTACAAAAAGTCAAGTGTGTGGACGAATTTTGCAGTTGCATACTTTTAATTGGAATATACTTATATTAAATTTTATTGATAATTGGAGAGTAGTTTCAACAGTTAATCGCAAACAGTTTTTACAAAGGTAAGCATTGAATTGTGTTTCGGCAAAAGCTCTATGTGTGTAATAACCAAGCGTTGTGCCATTTTTTTCTCTTATGATTAAGAAGTTGACATCACAAGATTAAATAAATGCACAGCGTCATGTAATGTTGTGCTTTTTTCTATTGTATTCGGAAATGCGTGATTCTAGAATTGCAGCTTTACACGTCTCAGAAAAGGCGCTGGAGAGATGGTGGTGTAGGTGAATGAACCTTTCTACGTTGTTTAGTAATCTGCTGGATTTCCCCTTATATTTTGCTATTGCACATTATATTGCAAATTTTTACATACATATATGTATGCGCAATGTGCATTTTACAGCGATGCAAAACGTTGGTATTGGCGGGCGATTTATCATATATATTTTACCCGCCTTAATTTACATTACACTACCTACTGCAGAAATACGCACATTAATAGAATTAAACTAAATAGCGCATTAATCTCAGTAATAATTTGAGTTAATTAAAACTTATACATGTATATATATATGTATGCAAATGAGTATGTGTATATATTATATACTATGTGTTCATTTGTTTGCAAAAAATAGCGGTGTATCGACCTTGCACAAGGCGCATAAGAACACGTTTTTAATGTAAGTGTACCTTCATTGTTCCATTGACTTATTTTCGCTATATGTATTTTTATACCCTGAACAAGGTATATTAAGTTTGCCTCAGAGGTTGTAACATTCAGACGGAAAAGAGATAAATTACATGATAAATCATGACAAGCTGAATCAATTTAGACATATCCGCCTGCTTGTTTGTCTGTATATTGAACTAGCTACTCTAGTTGAGGTATCGTTCTGAAATTTTGCACACGTCTATTTCTCCCGAAACAATATGCATACAAAATGAACGATCAAAGTCATGTCCTTATATGGAAAACTTTTTTATCTTCACGAAATTTAGCACGGATTGTTATCCCAGGCAACGGTACAATCTCCGAAGATATTGTCCAGTTCGTACTGTATACTATACAAAACTGACCGATGAAAATACAGGAATGGAATCTTGTATTTGTGAAGGGTATTATAGATTCGGTGCAACCGAAATTGACGTATTTTTTTCACTTGTTTTAACATCTGTTTCTGTCAACGACAACGTATATTCTTAATATATGCATTTAAAAATCGTTTGCAAAAAGATTTCCAATGGAACGTATGGAGTTCATTCGCATTTATGAAATGTTGATGAACTTCAAATATGGTCTTAATTGAACTTAATCATTTTCAAGCAGGTTTTCTTAAAAAGGGATAAGGTTCGTTTTATACTTGGTTGACACATTTTTCATTCATGCTAATAATCATGGCGGCACTTTTGTAATTTATACATGTTAAAATTTTAGTAAGAATTTATTAAAAGGGAAGGAAGTTGTTGAAATTAAAATACCAGTATCAGTAGGAGTTCAGTTGAGTTTTTGTCGAGAAAATATAAAATTGTTTTTTTCTGCCGGTAGGCTATGAAAAGTCTATCACCTTTTCGAAGAGCTGCTTAAAGTCTGCCAGATAAGATTTATGTACAAACTATACTTGTCTGTTGGTGTTATAGCGGTTATCTAATCCCCTCTTGGATGGTAGGGTTCGGTTTGGTTGCCATCGATGTCATCTAACGGTAGGCCTATGAAACGTACTGTTTCGACGAGGTCGGACCATAGGGAGAAGGGTGTTAGTTGAGTGGGGTTCGCTGGGCATGCAAAGAGGTGGTCGGAGTAATGCGGGGACTCATTGCACGATGGACATATAATTGGTATGTCGGGTGATGGTTTGACTCCAAGTACAACATTCACTGAGGGTGAAGGAGTACAGGCTGTCGAATGTAACTTCTAAAATCTTAGGGTAATTGAGAGTCGGAATTTTAACGCCATCGGCTGTAATGTTAAGACCCAGTCTGTACTACCTCAATTTTCACGACAGCCAGTCTAGTGCCTCACAAAGAACCATTCCAGTCTCAAGAAGCTCTAACAGGCAGCATGACTCCCAGGTTGTCAAGTACCCCTATCCACCCTTCCAATCCTCGTGCGAGAACCTCTAAGCAAATTTGGTTCCTCGTATAGTCGTCGCCATACGTTGGAGCGTCGGCCTGAGCACCACGCGTGATGGGAGTGTGTTGTACGTTGCTCCTGCAGGAGTCTGCCTCGGCAACACCCTACCTAGGTTCATAGCTGTCGTATAGTCCATAAAAATTTGGAGAGTCTCAAAAAATCTTTAGTTCGAGCAGCCAATTCAATATCAATAGAAACTGTGATCAGTAGTCGAATCGTCTGAGCGCTTGTATGACAGCAAAAGTTGAACATTTCGAATCAAAATTTCTAAATCACTCATTTCATTACTAAATAAAATTAATTTTATTAAAAAATCTATTATATTTTCATTTTTATATGAACTTGTAACGGAACTTATGGCAGGACTAAGTATATGAGTAAACTTTTGCACAAACGCTTGCCAAAATGTAAGGGCCAACGAACTCATCTAAAATCCGCTTCCCTATGTTCCGAAACTGCTCGTTCCTTAGACCTCCCGTTGGTTGACTTTGATTATAAATTATTTGTAATCCTCTCCAAACGGAGTGTAAATACACAGTCAATTTATCTATATTCAAATACAATATATAAGAGAGAATGTTGCTACGTAGGCTTAGCGCTTTTAGTCACAATGCCTGCAGCCTGAGTTTATTACTACAGCTTTAATTTATTACTTACTTGAAATATAAAAAACTAAACAACTAATTGCAGTTTAAATAGATTTTATTTTATTAATTCTTGTATTTAATGTAATTTTAAATTTTAAGGCAAAGCGTTTACATAAAAATACTTTTAACTTCTATTATACATATATAATTTTCTTTACATTATATACCACATGTACATTGTATTATATAACATATATGCATATGTAAAAGTAGTTTTAATTTTTACAATTTTATATATTTTATAATATTATATTCATTATCAATTTTGTATTTTTGTTATAATTTAATTTTGTTTGTGCTAAAGCATTTTGTTGAACTCCACGGTAAGGATAATTATGTTTTTCAAAAATTTCACCAATAAATTTTTTCACTTGTTGACATATAAATGTACATACATACATATATACATATGTACTTAAGTATGTAATCTGTTTGTATTTGTAATTTTCCAATTTGACAGAGGGATGACTGGTTCGGTTGTAGCTTAGTGGAATAGTTCTTAATATTTTAAAACTTTATAAAAATACATACATACATATGTATATGTATGTGCATGTTTAAAAATCATAAATGATAAACATCAAGATAAAGAAGTTCTTTTGTAATTGAATCGTTATATTATAGCATAAAACTAGAATAACAAGTTTATTGTTGCTTAAAAAAATATTAGTATCTATGTGAAGACGTACTATCAGCGCGACGAACTGCGTCGATTTAGCCATGTCCGTCTCTATATACGCGAATGGGTTCTTCTGGTTTTGAGATATCGTTCTGAAATTTTGCTTACGCCCTTTTCTTCCCAAGAATCTGCACATTTCTCTCAACTACCGATATCGTATCACTATAGCACATACTTGTATGTAGCTACCATAAAAAATGAACGCTCAAAATCAAGTTCCTGTATGGAAATCTGTTTTATATGATGAGATATCTTTATCAAATTTCGCATGGATTATTTTTCAATCCAAAGCTAACGTTTTTTCTTGTTTTTATCTGTTGTGTATTTATATTAAAATATCGGCTAGTTTTTTATTCTCAAAATTACACACTGAAGCTGTGGAGTTAAACTTAAATATATTAAATAAACACTCAATTTGGATTTGGTACGGTTAACATAGTGTGCTTACATATGTATATGCATGTGGTAGTAAGTTATTTTTGTTTATTTTCCATTGGCGGGTAGTTGAGTCTAAAAATCGGACTTTAGCTGCATATGTTTTGAATATATATATTTTTTTTATTGTACACTAATTTCAATTAACTAACAATTTGTCTAATTTAAGGCTACAAGCATCGCTATAACATTTAGAAGGTGCATTTTATTTTTTATAGAAAAACTTTCATACTCTCATGGGTTAGTGTAAAATTAGATAATTATGTTTTTAACGCATATTTTTGTTTTGTGTAAAGTAAATTTTTACATAAGTGAATCGGTTTATTCAGTATATATTTGTAAATATACATATGTTTAAACAGTTAGCTGTTGGTGTAAATTCATTTTATATTACATTTGTTTTTATAAAAAATATTTATATAGATATACATACATACATATATAAGAATATAATAAGCGTGGCTTTTATTAATAATTAAAAAAGTTGAATCTTATTATATAATATTTAAGACATTTTGTGCATGACACTTATTTGTAGGGAATATTCATAAACAAGATGTGACTAAATTTTATTCCGAGCAATTTTATAGGCTTGTTAAATAATAAGGCGAGCGAGCTTATAAGGGTACATTAGGTATTTGAATACAATCGCACATAAATATGTCTGAACATTTGGTTTTAGACGGGTTTAAAATCATTGGGTATTGATAGTTGCCGCGAAGTTTAAGCACTTTAATATTGAACCCTTGTGGTTTCAGTGCAAAAATTTTTATAAAGTTGGGTTGCAATTTATACATTAAGATATATAATTGAATAATCATTTGTATTAATTTTGTTTATTTTTCCCGAACTTCTTCTTAACTAAATATAATTTTTAAATTTTTAATCGCAAATACCGCATTGAATAAAAAAATGTTTTATCCCAAATACCGGATTGAAAAAAAATAAGATAAATATTTTTATTAGAATTGACGTCTCTTTGCGTTTGCGTGTTCTGCCATTTTGGTTATATTTTGAAAAGGAAAGCTTATTTTTAATAAAATATCCAACTTATTTTTATCTTATTTATATTTAGTTACTCTTAATTATAGTTTTTCTCTTAGAAATATGAAAATCTGTCCGTTTTTATCTCTTTTCATTCCAGCACATATTTTTTAATATAAAAATTGGAGTAACAAAAACATAAACATATTTAAAATTAAAAAGAAATGCTTTTTTTGTTATTCCAATTTTTATGTTAAAAAATATTTTCTTAGTTTTTACTTCATCTAAACATCTTGTATTCAAAATTTAAATTTGAATTGAAAATTTAATTTTTAAACCCGAAATCAGAATTAAAAATTGAATTTTTAATCCCAATAGCTTGAATTAACCTTAAATTTTCAAATTTTAATCTCAAAATCGAAATAAAAACTTGAAAATTTATTTTTAATCCCAAAATTAAAATAAAATAAAAACAATAAAAAACTGAAATCTATTTTATCCAAAATTTTTGAATTATAAAATTCGCTACCCTTGCTCTCCAAAACTACAACAACAACAGTCATATTTGAATTCCCGCTGAGCCTACGGTTTTGGGAGTTGTGCGAAGTGAAGCATACCCCTATTACCAAATATGTTTAACGTTTGTTGAAAGGAAGACCCAAAAGTAAACTTTTAGTCACATTGCCTCTATTATTCACTAAATAACTGATTCCATGTAGTTAAAGTCGTGTGAACCACAATAACCATACAATTATATTAGAATTATTAAAATCTTGCTAGGTGGGTTATGAAGCAAAGGATTGAAAGCTTCAAATCGCTTACCTCAACTTGATAAAATTAAGTAATTAAAACCCTTACAAATATTCGCAAATACCTAGCGCACCCTGCAATACAATAAATAAATTTGTTTGACCCATAATTGTTGTATAAAGCTTTTCATTAAATAAATTGCATTAACTACTTATTAGAGTAAATTTACAAAACGATCAGAAATTTGCGGTTTTGTTTACAATAGTAAGTAAATTAGGATAAACCATTTACTTTAATTTTTTTTAAATAGTATCAGTTTTTATGTAACTATGAAAAATATTACATTATCTTTTAGAGTTCCTCTTGTCTCGCATTATGTTTCAAAGCAGCTCTATTTTAGTCATTTTACTTTGTGTCTGTAATTTGTATGTTGAACAGTTACATTTACACTTTAATTAAATTGCATAATTAACCAAGTGCAGCGCTTTGTAATTAGCTTGATTTCCTAAAATATTTCGTGCGTACATTGTACATACATACATACATACAAATTTCCACGAAGTCCGCGAACGTTTGGTCCGTAATCTTGCAATTGTAATCGCTTGTCACTTGATACACACCTACAACGCCTGCACGACCTTGTGCGACCTTAGACGACTTCCAACGACTAAATCAATAGCGCTGAAAATGGATTGTAACGCATAATTTTCGACAGTAAAATCCATAACACTGATGTGATGCCGCACAAGACAACACCGCCCCAACCCAAATCCAAACTCCATGATGTCAGAAATATACGTGCACCCAATAACGGTTTAGCCATAATTGCCACGCCGCCCGGTCGCGCCACAATACCGTCAACAGTGCCATCATAGTCGCTATCCAACATGGGACGTCCTTGTTGGCGCTTAAAATGTATAATCATAAGGGTGAAGAGCGCAAAGAGTGCTGCAATAAGAAAAACAAAAAAATTTAGACATATTTTTTTCATAGTACATAAAAGTACTAAATTACAATTGTTTGCCTTCAAATATAAGAATGTCCGCAGAATTATTATTTCGTTGCGAAATGTCTTTCTACGCTTTCAACTTACCCGCTAGTAGATACATGACGCCTGTTATTAGTATGGCGCTTATTTGGCGCTGACAAACACCGAACGCGCCCACCAATGCAGCGCTACCCAGTATAATTAGGCAGACCAATGAGCAGGAAATTGACAAGTTTTGCATTCCTTTTGTTTTTATATATGGAAAAATTACAAATATATTAAATAGTTAGTTATGCGGTTATGTTGTATGAAATTATATTATTAATAACTATTTTTTTTTTTGTAAGATAAAGGTTTAAGGTTGTGTAGGATATTGAAGTAAAATTTGCGCAGTTTAAAAATTTGGTTTAAAATGTGAAATGTTGACATACTTTATTTATATATAATATTTTTTGATATATAATATGGGTTATTATGTATTTATATGCATATGCTCGATTATGTGTGTAGAAAAGCTCAAGCTGTGCGCCAAACAAATGTTCATGAAATATGAAAGCAAATTGCGAAGAAAATGTACGCATTGTTGTTGTAATAGCTGACTAAAACGTTGCCCAAATAGTTTTGGAAAATGGTACAGTGGCAACAGTTCTTGGCCGGTAAAATTTAGTTCTGTTCGGTTAACATAAACCTAACTGTTTTGAGAGCGAATGGCGGAACCTTATCAGCAATTATGCATTTTACAATATAAACCGCAGCAACTGACCCTTTTATACACCGTTCCCACGACAGTCGGGTCTACGTAACCGGAACGGACCTGGATTTATTCCGACTACAACAACAACAACAACAACAACCCTTTTATACACTGAACAGGAACTTTTTTATTTGACGAGATATTTTCACGATATTTGTCATAGATTATTATTCAAGGCAAACCTATAATCTCTGAACATATTGTTCAGATCGGAACACTATAAAATACCAAACACACAAGAAAATGGCATAATGAAAATACAATAAACATAAAAAGCCAAAAATATGTATATGGCATACTCGTATGTATTTAAACATCTAAAAACCCATGTCAATATTAAATGTATAAGCCTAAGGGTTATATCATACCATACTGCCTCATTAATGACCAACTACCGTTTCTAATGTACGTCCAAAACACAACAATAACATATGTATATAAACCACATATGTATGTAATTGTAATGTGTGGCAATATAACTGCCAGCGTCTAACGTTCAATACCACTTACCACTGCTCTTTTCGCTTTTTATTGCAGACAAACAGTTATTGACACCGTGCATACCGCTCTTGTGTAGTTTTAGGTCTAAATAACTAATTTTATGAATAAAAAAAAATACTTGGAACTATTGACGTAAAACATGTTCTAGCAGTGCAAGGCAAGCACAAACATACACAAGTTATATAATTTATCATAAATTGCTGATAATGGCGAACGCGCATAAAACCGAAGTCAAAATCGTTAGCCATGACAATGCGGCAGCGATAGCTAGTGGTATAGTGAATGGTGAAAAGCGCAAACGTGGTCGTCCACGTGCGATTGTTGGCGTGGAAACAAAACCGGGTACATCTTCAGAGCCCAAGACAAAGATTATCAATGGCAAATTGATGAAAAAATCTGTGGGCAAGCCGAAGAAGCTGAAGACTGGTAAACCTGGTCGGCCACGCAAGCAATATATTTGGGTTGAAGCAAAATGAAAAATTTGAAATATCGGATGGCGAGAAATACAATAATAATAATTAAAAATCGCAAGTTTTTTGTGGGCGAAATATTCTGTTCATTATGATTATAATTTGTAAATTAAGCTTTTTCATAAAATAAGCAGATTTATTTCTGTTGAAATTTTATGCAAACAAAATCATTATAAAACGAATTTTTAAATTGTATAATTTTATTGCTAATATAATAAAAAATTAATTATAATTTTTGTAAAATAATTAGCATTATTGCCCGAGGGTTATGACACACAATTAAGTACTTGAATACTTTTTTTTAAGAATACATACATTTGGTATACAAATAAGTTCTTAAAGAAAGTCTCCAAGTACTTGATTTTAGGAGCTTTTATTTCATTCAAGATAAATCGCCTAAATGTAGGCAACGATTTTTTTTTTAAATCCCTTAATTGTTGCATATTTTTATATATATGACGAAGTTCAATGTCATGTCATTTTAATTTGCATTTCCTTTTCGTGTAACAACAAATGTCGCGACTTGTAACGCTTGTCACCAAAAATATTTACAACTTCTTTGTATAATAAAAATGTGTAATTTGAGGTGAAAGGCAATGCCAAGTTCATGCACAACACATTGGCGGAAGAGCCGTAGTGCCGAGGAAATGCGTTTTACTCATCCATCTGATTGTGATGGAATGTCACCAGCGCTAACGAACTATCAAACTATATATAAAATGTAAATGAACACACGCACATATGCATATATGAATGTACAATACTATATAAGTTCAACTGTCTTCCACAAGGCCTTGATTTTAATTTATTTCATGTGCTATTTGCATATCCTTGCACACATCAGCATATACCATATTTAATAATGTATTCATGCACTTAAGCTGGTTGTTTTAAAGTGTTAGCATGTAAATATTTTTGATTTAAAAATCAACTTTGCAGATTTGTCAATTTTCATTATGCTTTTGCGGTTGTTTGTAACACCATGTATGTTGTTGTTGTGGCGGCTGAATTCTACGGTATCAATCAAACACCAGTGAAAATAACGGGATAAAACTCGACACAAAAAGCGCCAGCAAGGTATGCTATTCACGGATCTAACAGTGATCGAAATCCGTTTATAAGCTCCAGTATATACCGTATACTGCTCAATATGTAATATATATAAAATGCAGTTAACATATAAATGTTGGTTATATTATAGTTTAATGCCGAAAATGTGTGAAATCGCTCGACGAATTACCCAAGCTCCATATACCACATCACAATCATTATAGTAATTTTTGTTATTCTAGGTTATTCCAGCTATACTTTAGTAATCTCAGAAGTTAATGTAATTAGTACAGACCTGTCCCCACTTTGCCGTATATAGTAATTTCCGATTTTCCAGCTGACTTTAAACCGTTTATGTCGCCAATACGTGTGATATTTTAATGAAATTAGGTAGACATGTTTTCTTAAACATAATATGGTTCAGACCTTGGTCTTAACCTCAATTTCCTAATATAATGATTACCGTTTATCTGGTTCTTAAACCCAATGTGTTAAATTTGGTCTCTTTGGTTGAGTTTATATAACATTTTAGTTAATTGTGTTGATTTTAAGTAAATATCTTGGAAAAGCAGCAAAATATAGTATCGAAACTAAGTGAGTCTATGATCTATAAGTATATAGTATTGTTTATTTATACAAAATCGCTTGAAATAAGAATTATTTGCAGGTTTTATGCTTATGTTACTTATTTCATCAATATTGAAAATATTTTTTGAAGCAATGAAGTTAGTTTTGGAAATTAATAATCGAAATTTTCATGAATAAGGCATAACTAATCTTAAACTAAATGAAAATGAATTTGATATGCATGATTTAGCAGCGGAATGGGTATGCTAATATTTTTATTTTTGTATGATATTATATATTAAATAAACATATATGGCTACAGTTAGTTATTTAACCAATCTAAATCATGCATAACTACAAGCAAGTACGTAATATGGATTGTTAGGCGCTATTATAAATATACTGAATGAAAAATAGTTATTCAAAGATTTGCAGGTACAACCTACGTGATTAGAAGAATCTTGAGTTGTTGACTATTGAGCGACGAAGAATTTGATGCAGCGAAAAACTACATTGAATATTCTGTTTGTTATTTGAACAATTTTTGCTTTACGAAATTCATCTAAATGCATATGCAGCCAATTTGAAATACATACAATACATAAAAAAAACCTCACCTAATTTAGCTTGAAGCTAATTGCGGCAAATATGTGTATATTCTATTACTACTAATAAATTCATTTGTGTATACTACAAATATTTTTATAATTTTCTCTTTAATTGCAGTTTATATATTTGCAACACTTAAAACCTAAAAAATATATATATCAAGATGTCAACAGATGAGCAAAATCCTGTAGTATCCAACGATGATGGCGGCGCTGCCAAAGAAAGCCTAATTGCTGAGGAAGAAACTGGCTTTATCAATCAGGAACATGCAATGAAATTACTTGAAGCCAAGGAGTTGTACTGTTATGGTTCACGAAATTTCCTTATAAAAAACTACAGCGATGCGGCTGATCAGTTGAGTCAAGCATGTGCCCACTATGAAGAATTGTATGGCGAGCAGTCGAATGAATTGGGCATGCCATATTTGCTGTAAGTGCCATTTAAAGCGATTTCAACAAGCAGCAGCAGACTAAAAAGTAGCAATTTTGCTTTTATGCCTTTCACTTGTAGCTATGCAAAATCCCTGATTGCCTTAGCACTTGATGAGAACAAAGTCATCGATGTGCCGGACGAAGAGGAACTCGATGATGATGATGATGATGATGATGATGATGAAGATGAAGATGCCGATGAGGTGGCCGTCGCGAAGAATGGTAGTGGTAATGGCGCGGCGGCAGCGGCGACGAGTAGCACCTCAAAAAGTAACAAAGAGAAGAGTGATGAAATGGAGGCGGATTCAACGGCTAAAGCACCTCTTGCTGCAACGCCGGTTTTGGATGACGAAAAGCCAAGCACCTCAAATGGCGATGCTAGTGGCGATGATATTGCAGACGTTGATAATGACGCGGTGAGTACCACTTGGAAGTTAATTTCATTTCGAAATAAGTACGTGTTTTGAGTGCTTCAAATGCAATCGAACTGATTTAAATTGAATTTGGGAATTGTCGCAAACAATGAGTGTCCTGATGCGAGCAGCAAGAACAGAATGTGGGATTTAGTTGCTAAACACAAAAAGCGTTGTATTTGTAGTTTGACAAATTTAATATTTTAGTAGGCAGGGGAAATGTACAAGCTGAATTTGTAGAACTTAGATTGTATTGGATTAAAAAAATATATAATAATAATAAATGTATATACAATAAAGTACTTAAATTAAATTAAATAAAGTTGTAAAAATTATTAAATAAAATATTTAAAAAATATAAAATTATATATAAAAATTTAACAAAAATATAAAATTATTAAAATTTCTAATATTAAAATAAAAGGAAATAAAATAATAATTCATATTAAATTACAACTATAAAGAAAGAAAATACATAATTAAAAAAATTAGATACAATTAAATATGCGTATGCACATAAATTTATGCTAATAAAACATTTAAATTAAAAAGTAAATAAAATAACATAAAAAAAAGAAAAAACAAAATCAAAAAAATTAATAAGATTTAATAATTAATAAAAAACATTACATTTAAACGATTAAAACAAAATAGTAATCTAAAAATACTAATTATTATACATATTTCGAACAAAATTCGTATTTTAAAATAGAGCAGCAAATAAATGCAAAAAACAGTTAAAAAATATATATAATAAAAACTAAAAAAAACCAACAACAAATATATAAAAAAAAATTAAAAAGTAAAAAAATAAAAAATCATTACTTTTTACTCTGTGGAATTTTAAATATTTTACGTTACGTTTAAAACTTTTTATATATATGTTTTCTAATTTAATAAACTATTTTTTCTTTCTCTCTAATTTGATAATATATCTTCATAATTCTGTGCCACTTGATCTTTAGGCTTCCAATCTGCAATTGGCCTGGGAAATCCTTGAGTTGGCTGATAAAATTTTCTCCCGTCAAGGCGGAGATGGCATGTCAAACTTGGCTGAGGTGCGAACGGAACTGGCTAATATTGAATTCGAGAACAATTTGCCTGAGGCGGCACGTGATGACTACAGTAAATATAAAAATCAAAAGCAAAAAATGAACTGCATTAATTTATTTGCTTTCCTTCTCTTTCTCTCTCTCTTTCTCTCTCTCTCTCTCCTCTATCATTCATGCAGTGAAAGCATTAAAAATTTACTGTGAAATGCCGCCAAACTATCGACGCGCCATGGCAGAAATACATTACAAAATCGGTCTAACCTATCTGATGCAACAAATGAACAAGGAGGGCGCTGAATCGCTAAAAGCTGCATGCGAGCTGATCGATGGTGAAATAAAGGAAATACAAGAGTGTGATGAGGAGCTGAGCGAGAAGCGGAAGAGTAAGATACAGGATTTGGAGGAGACCAAACAGGAGATTTGGGCGAAAATATCCGAAATCGAGGAGACACAAGCGCAGGTGAGAAATTGTATACAATCTAAACGACAACAATATTAACTAATTATGCTTGGTTTTTTTTTTTTCGTTTCCGCTCTGCATAGAACGTTGCTGAGGTGCGCGCAGCGCTGGACAGCTACATCAAACCAATTAACAGCGCATCAACGGAATCAAATGGTGCAGGTTCCTCAACTGTTGCAGGATCAACATCAGCAGCGAGCGCGTCGTCATCTAGTGCAGCCAAGCCGACGGATATTTCACATTTAATTAAACGCAAGAAGCCGAATGATAATACGGAAGCTGAGGTTGGCGCGTCACCAGCCAAACGACCAGCTGCCTAATTATTTTGGTTTCTCGTGCGGCCGTTTTATTTGATTTGATGCAAATTTTTTCGTTCGCCATTATAGCGACAAAAAGAAATTCGTTTATACATATGCACGAAGAGCATAATTTTTCTTCAAAAAGTTCTTATTTAGTTTTAAAATTAATTATTTTTGTTTGTATTTCTTTTTTTGTGTTTTTTATTTTGTTGGTAAAATTTTCAGTTTTTGCCTTGTTTCAATTTATTAATCTTTATTTTTATTTGTTCGCACTCCAAAACAATTTTTTTTTTTTATTACTTCAAAATTTGTCAATTTTATGATTTGCACGTTTTGCTAATTCAATTGCAGTCGTTATATTTTTGTTTTCTTGCTTTCACAATTAACAATGTTAAATTTTCTTAAATTTTTCTACAATAGTACTTAGTTGTAAGCATATACATTGAAAATACATATTTATAAAGTATATACTTAAATTATATAATAGTTTATCTTGCTAATTATTGTATTGTTACTTTTTTATGGCACAAATGTTTGTTATTAAACTCATTTCTACACTACTCTCACCTACTGTAAGAAAACTCAACGAAAAATGCATAGAGTTAAGTTAAACAACACAAATATATAAATAATATTACTACAAAAATACAAAATTGATAGTTTTCCAAAAATATTTATACCCTAAACAGCGTAAATTAAGTTTACCACAAAGTTTGTAAGGCCCAGAAGGAAATGTTGGAGACCCTAAAAAATAAATGTATATAAATCAACAGCACGACGAGCTAATCCGATTTAGCCATGTACGTTTGTCTCTCAGCTGAAATTTTTCACACATAGTTTTCTTTCCAAGAAGCTGCTCTATGCCACTATGGCATATAGTATATAGCATATAGCTGCCATACAAACTGAACGATCAAAAGCATGTCCTTGTATGTGAAACTTTTTTATTTGACGAAATATCTTCACGATTATTTTCCTATTTACCGTTATCAGTTGAAAAATCGAGATAACAGTGAATTCTAAGCTAGTTTTCACTAATAATTTTAGTTTTCAAGCTAAATTATCTACCATATATGTGTAGCATTTTCTCATTACTGCTCTATATGTAAAATGTAAATATGTATACACGCAGTGCTTAACTACAAGTACATAACTATCAGCGAGTAGCACTCGCAGTGACTACATATGCATTCGATGATTACGAAACTATTGTCTAATGCAATGATTTATGTAACACAGCTTATTGAATTACATATGTAATGCATTAAATAAATATACGCGTATGTATGTAATTGAGTAGTTATGTTGTTGCCTAAAAGATACTTGAGATAGTACGACAGTTGAATTTAGTAGCTTGGTAAATATGAAAGTTCAATATTTTGACGTAGAAATTGCAGTTGCGAGTGAGAGAACAATTCTTTCTATGTGTGTGTGTAAGACCAATTATTTTTTTGTTACACTTTTTCACAATTCAAATTATACTAAATTTTTGTGTTATTGTATTTTTGTGTATGTGTGTAATAGAAATACACATAGATTGTACCATACGTACTTAAATGGGGCTGCAATGAGGTCTGGGACTCACTATGTTGCCAATCGTTGCGTTGCTCTTCACCGCGTGCATTCTCCATCGAACCGGCTAAATAATTGACGCAAGGTGGTGCACCGCGTGGAAATTTCGGATGTCTTCGTAGCTCTTGCAACTCCTGCATTGGCAAGTCTATGCACAGAGTCCAAATGCCACCATGCATGGGTACTAGGAAAACAGTTTCACGACGAAAGCGATATTCGGCTGCAATTATAAGGGAAAGCAATGCGTTAAATACGAAATAAGAGTAAGCCTTAAGGCACAAACAGTCACCGACGCAAAACCGTGGACCGAATCAGCTGATACGATCTATCTTATGAGAGCGCAATGTAAATGAACAGTCACCACCGCTTCTACCGTCCGCTTCAACAGACCATACGGTAGGATATCCGCGAAAATTGAGTCCGATCAAGTTCGGTAACTTTACTTACCGTTCCATGTACACTAATTCGATAGCCGAAAATGTAGTTGTTATTAACTTTCAAGCTAAATTTGTAAATTACAACCAAAGTCCTATCTGTTGGGTTCTTTTTATGAGTATCAAACCCTGTAGAACATACTTGGATGACAGATCATTTAGTATTTCAACACCTTCATCCACTCTCTCTACGGCTATAACCACTTATTTGTCCAATCAACACACATTGCATGTGAGAACCAAGATTACTCGTAAGACATGAGACTGGAGTACACCACCTGACCTCTATATATACTATTTGTAGGTTTGACCGTTTTTATGATCTACCGTTGGACGACTTCAATGACATTTTCTAATTCTGGCACAAAATAGGGTCAGGATTACCACTAATACAACAAAAGCAAAAAATTTCATGGATTGAATTTCTAACGAATAATACGAAGCGGCATCGCCATGGCTGGATATGCACAGCCCGTACACGCTACCATCGACTCCTTCACGTCCCACCTCACTTTTTTAACTATACATTCCTGCATAATTCAACACCGAGTTAAGTTTAGCTTTTTTTACAGCCAAATCGGTACACAATTGACCTCAAAATATCAAAGCTTAGCCCTAACCATCGCAACTCATCTATCAAGTGAAGTAACATAACAATTTTCGGAAATCCGTAAACCAAAAAGCTTCTGGGTACTGGTAGAAATTATAGCAGATTTTTATCGGCCAATGTTCAACAGTCACCTTAGAAAAGAATTAGACACAGAACTTCAGATGAAATAAGAGAAATGAAGTACAATATGCAAAATGCTATGACTTCAATTAAATAAAATCCCAAACTTATATGCGGTTGTTGCTTTCACTTCGTTCTTCAAACGAGACCAACCCTTGCCAATCATATATGTATGGTTGAATGTAATCAGTATATACAAAACTACGAACAACACTCATTGAGTGATCTCATTTACCTTTTTTGTCGGGCTTTAGCATCGCCACTTTATTGTCCAACATCCACTCCAACTGCATACTCGAACGATTTGTGTACCGATCCAAACTGTTGCGATCCCAAGTGACATGCTCCCAGTGATCAGTCATAATGGCGGCGCAGAGCATTGCCGTCGCGCTGGTGGTCATCAGCAGCGTCACAAACAGAAATAGCACTGGCGGTGGTCCAACACAACAGTTAGAGCAGCAACCCGACGCGCCAGAGCTACTACCCATATCCATAGCCGAATTGAGTGATGTGGGTGTGTCCAGACCGCCGCCAGTGCCGTCACCGTTTTGATTCAGCGCCTTGGCGCAGCTACTATTACGCAACAGTATGCTATTGCTGCGTCTTAAACTCTCAACAGCCGCTGCAGCGGCTGCAGTTGTTGCCGCAGTTGGATCAAATTGAAACGACGAATTATGCACCACAGCCGACGAATGTTCATAAATGCTGTTATGCCGACTTGGCGCAAAGTAATAGCACGTCGTTTGTGTATTGTTTTTCGTATTGTGATTGCTGGGACCGTTGCTAACGCCGAAATTACTGCTGCCACCGGTTGTACCGCCGCCAACATCATCGCCGTGCTCATTAATTGCGCTCAAGTCCTCATTGCTTGACGTATACAAAATGGATTGAGCAAATTGATTCGAATAGCAATTCTGCTTGAAAGCGCTACTGCCGATTTGAAAGTGACTCGACGGCTGGTGGTGATAGTGATGATTTCCGCCAGCAGCTGTTTTAGAGAAACCGCCGGACGCCTGCACGTAGAGTGCCTCGTAATCGTAATGATGTGGATTCCTATAGATTACCGGCCAGGAGCGTGTGGTCTTCGAGTTGTGACTGTAAGTTGTGGTGGTGGCGGCGGCAGCAACAGCAGCAGCAGCGATAGCTGTAGGTGGTGGTGCCGTTGGTGCAGCCGGTATGTTAGTTTGCTGACCGTAAATGTTCGGTGCGTTCGCAAGGCCAACTGCAGAGATGATGCTGGCAGCAGATGTGGAAGGCGACAAGCCGCCACCGTTTTGTATTGCTGCTGTAGATAAACCAACACTAGTTGTTGGTGAAACAGATGCGGCGATCGCGGTGCTATTGGAGGAAGGTGTGAGCGCCGTCGGACTATGGCCGAGCGTGATATCGTGCGTCTCCACTAAAGGTGTCAATTCAGTGGGTTGACTCTCCTCACTAGTTTGTGCAATCAATTTTTCAGCTGTAGTTCTGGTTGGACTCGCCTGTTGCTGATGTGGCTGCTGGGTCGCCTTCTGGCGTTGCAGTAGATTTTTCGTAGACGCGGCAATTGTTGTCGGTCTAATCGGCGTTGTGCTGGCGGTCAATTTCAGTGGTGGTGGCAGCTGGCGAACCGACTCTTTGCCGGTGCCGTCGCCGATGCCAGGGCCGGCAACGCTGCTGTTGTTGGTCGCTTGTGGACTTACGCGCACTTTTCCGTTCACATTCGTTGCTATCACAATTGTTGCTGTCGGCACCGCTGTCAATTCATTAAAGTCCTCCTCCTCCACCAGTGTGGCTCCTGATGAATAAATGTTGTTAGTGTGTTTATTGCGTTGTAGAAGAGTTTTACTGTTACTACTATTTTGGCTATGGCTGTTGCTATGATTAATGCTGTTCTTGCTATTATTATTATTGTTGTTGTTGCTGTTGTAATTATAGTTGCTATAGCAGTGGCTATTGCTATTGCTGTTGCTGTTGCTGTTGCTACTTAGCTTGGCTTTCGATTTTTTATGTGATTTCTGTTGTTGCGCTTGCTGTTTATGATTTACTTTTTGTTTGTGATGTTGTTGCTGTTGATGTTGCTGATGTGTTTGTGTTGCTGATTTTGATGGCAGCTGTTCGGTTGTCTGATGATTAGCGTGCTGTGCTGCATGCGTATGTGGTGTTGTTGTTGTTGCTGTTGTAATGGCCACTGTTGCTGATTGTGATGTTGATGTTGTTGATGCTGATGATGTTGATGATACCGATGAGAATGGCTGTAATTCATGATAATGGCCATCGGTCGGTGAGGTTACGCTCACTTCGGGTACGCAGCGCGTAGTCACTTTGTAGTGACTACCGCCGCCACCACCCACACCCAAACCGACCCGCGTCTTTACCAGTCATAAGTCGGTGTCACGTTTCTTGATCTTATTGAGGCTCATGTTTTTGAGTCCGGTTGTGGCGGTTATTGTTGCGGCAACTGTTTTTTGTGTTGAATTTTTGGAAGTGCTCGTGGTTTCGGTAATTTTTGTTTTTGTATTGTGCGAAAAAAAGGAATTGTGCTGTGCGGTCGGCGGGTTTTCGATAGATATGATAGATATAGTGTGGTTTATGCGTTCGTACGGGATAGTCGGTGGTGTCGGTAGGAGTGTGTGTGTATGTGATTTTATTGAAAGTTGTGTGTGAGATAAATTATGTAAGCGTTTCGCAATTAGTGAGCTTTGAAAATGGGCTTTAAGCAATGAGATTGTTTGTATATATTTGCTTGTGTTGTTTTGTTGCTGTTTGTGTATCTCTAGCAACTATAATTGCTAATTATAAGTTATATTATTAAAACAGCTGCTATTGTGTGCCTAAAAGTATGCTAATATATTTTGTATTTTTCAAATTTCGCACTAGTGTTGGCAACCCTACTCGGCAAACAGGCTCTGTATTTACTTGTAATCGTGTGCCTCTATTATAAATTTAGTTATCACTACAAATTACGGTGTTTTCAATAATTTTCAACAAATCTCGTATTTATTGGTGCATTTGTGTGCATGTGTTTGTGTGTAGGTGTGTGTGTGTTGGTAAGTGTATATTTTCTTTTCGTTTGCTCAGTTAAAGCTTTTCAACTACTGCGTTTAAGATTTTTGTTTGTTAGCATCAAGCTACAAAGTAGAAAGAAATGAAAAAGTAGACAGAAAATTTCAAGTTAGTGATTTGTGAATTCTTTGAAAAATGTTCACTCACTTAACTAGTAAATAAGAAAAAATAGAAAAAAATAGAAAATTTCTTTAAATACTGAAAAATTGTGCAGTGACAAAATACAATACATATATAATATATACATTTAATCAATAAAATATAACTGTACTTATGTATATGCACACATATGTATTTCTAAAGATGTTTAGGAAAAGGCAGACTGCGTGCATTGTGTGATAACTCGCGGTTGTGAGGAGAAGACACACATACATACATATAAATATGATTTACACATACAACAAACATACATACATATATGAAAAATTAAGATCAACTAAATCGTATTGAATTTGTGCAAACTCCATAATTAATAAACACAACACTGAAAGAACTGGTGCCCGTTCTTCAATTATAAAACAGAAAAAAAAACCTTTAACATCGGTTACACTGCAGGTGTGATATCCTTTACAAGTACAAAAGATGTCTTACAAGAACGTGATTTTTACTGGTCAGTTTGTTTAGCAGCTGTATGCTTTAGTCACCCGATTTGAACAATTTCCTTCGGAGATTACACCATAACCTTTAAAAATAACTTATACTAAATTTCTTGAAGACATTTCATCAAATGAAAAAGCTTTCTATAGAATCCCTTTATTCCGACCGTTCAGTTTGTATGTCAGCTATATACTATAGTGGTACGATATCGACGGTTTCGACAAATGAGCAGCTTCTTTAGGGAGAAAGGAACGTGTACAAAATTTCAGATTAATATCTCAAAAACTGAAGGACTAGTTCGTAGACAGACCTGGCTAAATCGACTCAGCCCGTCACGCTGATCAATTATACATATTTTTTATAGGGTCTCCGACGTTTCTTTCTTGATGTTACAAACTTCGTGGCAAACTTAATATACCCTGTTCAGGGTACAATAAAAGAAAAAGCTAAAAAAGTTATATTTGAAATTAATTTATTTGAATAAGGAATAGGAAAGTGTAACTAAGCGTTTGTCTATTTCATGACATCACACTTACTCACAAGCTGTTGACCTTTTGGACTATGGCGGTAGATTCTGGGCTTGAGTGCCTCGTGTAGGAAATACAATTGTTTTTGTCGGCATTATGTGGCAATTTAACTATCGATACGACACATCAAAGGGAAGCACTTTGCGTAGATATAATGTATACTATATTTATATATATTAACCATTTGTTGATAAATATACCAACGTTTGGGCTTCAGTCTCTGTAATAATGCCACATGTTCTTAATATATCACCTACCGTAATACCTAACCCAAGCCTATTTTTATATGTAAAAGTGTATCATGATTTTTTGAAAGGAGATTTTTAGATACCAAGTGAGGTTTCAGACAAGTAGACTCCCTATCGTGTGACTTCTTCAATATATTGCTGGAGCAAATAATAGGAGAGCTAAATAGAGAAGGTACAATATTTTATAAGAGTGTACAGCTGCTGGCGTACGCCGATGATATTGATGGAACGATGAGCTGTACGAGATATACCGTGACATTGATAAAGTTCAGCGAATCAAGAGACAGCGGCTCTGAGAATACTCCAGCTTTGAAAGTGTTCAATTCAGCACACGCCGGTGTAAGCAGAAGAAGAGTAAGAGACCTCTACTCCGTTGGAAATATCTGCTGGAGAAGAACCTAGCTGCACTTTGTATCTCCAATCGGCGCCGAATAGCGAAGAAAAGAAACGACTGACGTGCGAGTGAAGCAGAAGAAGATTTTTAGATAAGACGTCAGTGAAGGAAATGTGTTAAAAGTTTAGGTTATATGTACATTAGTGTAAGGAGCTTGAAATGCTGTTAGACAGGAATGGTGCCTGAAAAATCGTATTAATCCGAAGAGACCTCCAAGATTTACAGAAAATTTACAGATAGGTAGCCAAGCTTCCATAAAAATGAAAAATGACTCATATACAGAGCAGTCGCGATTTGGCTAGCATGTCACTGTAGAGCGGCATAACATTGATGGTATTGATAAGATATGACATTATAGTAAATGCAAAAGTATTCGATGAAATACTATCTAAAGGTACCTCAGAAAAAGCAAAAACCAGCAGGAGGAAAGGTGCTCGGCGTAACTTAATATTGCGAATTGGCTTTAACTAGTTTAAATGAAGAGAAAAAACGACTGGTATACTTAGCCAAAATTGTTTAAATGGGCTTCTATGTACAAACCTTTCGCTTTTTCAAGTGACTCAATGCAGTACATCTGAAGTTAAACTCTAGTGGTAATTAAATGATGCATCTGATATATGTATATATTATTGTATTTTTATATGTACTTGCCCATTTATGTAAGCACTAATCGACATATATTCCAATAGTAAAAAGCCACAATAAATGTGTAAAAATGTATATGTTTTCCCTCGTATGCGTTTAAACCTTTGTGTTGCCATTGGAGACCGATTCTTCCACTCAATATACATTTAAAATGGCACACATTCTCTCAACATGCAAAGATAAATATTTTTTGCACAAATGCAACATAGGTTTCAGAACATTCTTCGCATGCAATAGGTAGTCGAAGCCAAATACGAAACAGTTGGGAAATTTTGCGAAGACATATAAAATAAATCTCGATATATCCATATGTGAATACATACAAGTATACGACACGACTACTAGTAGTTTGCTGATGCAGACAAAAACTTATATATGAACGAAATCGACGACTAATCAATTTGTCTAACCAGCAAGATCGGTTCCTAAGAAACTACAAAAATTACAAAAGAGTGGGAACACATCTAGGTATGATTAGAAACCTGTATCTACAATATAAGAAATATTTTTAAATTAAACTTGGTTAGACAAAGAGGTGGGCATATACGCTTGATTTGTTCTCCTAAGTACCTTTAAATATACTCTCACACACTCAACTCCAGGGAATTTAGATCTCAGTCTAGTTTGAATTCTTATCCTCTGATTTTTTAATTTTCATTTGGGTTAATTTTCTTTGGGATATATACAGACACATATGTATATGTTAACTCAGACGCGCAAACAGAAATAAGATAAAATTTCCAAAGCCAAAGAGTGAAATAAAAATGGAATGTTTGACTATGTAACATGTGAATGGCGGAACAAATTGTTGCTAGTGGATTATGCCATCGCATTGGCCTTGGCTAGTCCTAATTTTATGGCTTACTCCATGCATGTCAGACTGTTTTTTGTTGTCGTCCGGTAGCGACTGCTGCATGCCTGGCAGACTGCAACATAGTTTCTACAAAAATAAAACTAAATATACCGGCTGGTTGTTGGCGTAGCTTTGTTGGTTGAGTTTAGAAGAACGAAATGTTAGAATTTCTGGCAGGCAGCAGATTGTAAAAAGAGACATTTGCCACAAGCGACAAGCACACATACAAGTACATATGTATACCATATTTAAACGCAGATGTTTAAAGGTATATTTTGGGTTTTGGAATCCCTTAACACCGTACAATTAAATCTTTCTTTGGTTTAAGAAGAGTAAAATCCGTTTTGCTTACTACAATAAATATCGAGCTAAATTTTACCAATTATTATAGTCTCAGAAGACTAACGTCGTAGTGTAATGGTTAAAGATATACACTGTCCACTAATCGAAACCTGGATTTGAACCTCTATTATTCAAAAATTTACTTTGTAAAAGTGTTAACCACTACGCAAAGTAAGTCACTGTGCGAATTTCTGCCCCTTAGTGCTTCTAATAACAATATTTTAGCCGTAAATAATCGGTTTAATCGGTTTAAAGTTTTTAGACCCTTAATATGTGTTTGGTAGCTAAAAAACGATAACCAATATGATGCGAATGTTACTAACAAGCGTTTCTTTCCCAAGTTGTGTACTTTAATAATTTATGGACTTTCACTATAATTTTGTTACTTAACAAGTGAGAAGGAAAGCCATGCAAGCTATCAAATACGGCTCTATCTCTTTTTTTATTTCTCGCTCATTCACTCTATCTTACTCTCTTCCCCTCATTAAATTCCCACCCTCTATCAGTGTGTATATGCTAATAGCATAATCTCTGTGATACCGTTTAACTTTATTGAGGATCTCTCATTGATCTAATTGAACCTAGGCAACACGCCTTTTGAATCGGGTACTATCAAAAGTTTAACCAGTTGTGTTATGAATGTTGGCATTGAATACTATAATTAGTGTAGCTTTCTAGATACCCTCTTAACCGTCCATCTTAACTATTTTATGTTATAGATATCTCGTGAAGAACCGTGTGTGGAGTAAATATGCAACGAGCAATCATTTGTCTTACATTGTCAGATTACCATTTACCACCTTAAAGAGTTTAAAATATGAATGTTCTGACAGTTTTTTGGTTTTTACATCGTTGTGGATTCTACTTCCAATGATAATATAATATAATGCATTTTCGCGGTATTTTTCACGATATTCTCACATACCCATCTCTGGCACTTGCAGTTGTAGTTTTGTCATATTTTTTTGTTATTGTTGTAACAATAATACTATTGTGTGTTTTCATGTAAGAAGTGCAACTGCCTCTTAGGTAGCTGACATGGGAATAGTAAAGTGAAATTTTATTTGCCAAAAACAACAATAACAGCGGAAAAGTTATGAAAAACCTCACCAGTTTGGTGTTAGCAACAAAAACTGTCGGTAAATTCATTCGTCAACAAACAGAAAAACAACAACCGTATCTGCACAACAGATTTGATTAAATTTTCTAACTTAACCACAAAACTACAATTCGAGCATAGTGCTGCGATCCAACTGCAATATGTATGCCATCAAGGATTAGTATTGTGGTTTGCCTAAAAATTGTTCGTAAATAGAATTGTTTAATTACGGAAATGCTATTTTTGTTATTTGAAAAGTTCTAGTATGTTATTTGGCATTGTGGCGCCGGTGAATTTGGACCTGTAATCAAATTTTAAAATGCAATATTTGGATATGGACTACACACAAAAATCATATGT